AAAAATATAAAAATGCGATTTTCTCGAAAATTAGCAAACTTTGAGTATTTCTGAGGCTCAGAAAGTGTTATGTGGTCGAATTAGAAGCAAAACAAAGCATTAAAAACTTCCTGAAAATTTTAATAAAGAAAATAAAAAAAATGGCATTTTATGGAGAAAATTTGTGGCTCCATCTAGCGGCAAAACTGCGAAATATACTGAAAAAACGTATGTCCGAATACGTAGTTCCGCCGCTCGCCGCTAGATGGCGCCACATGTACCGTTTTGGACCGAATTCGACAAAAATTGATTTCCTGACTTTATTAGGCATCAAAACGCATCAAACCCTAATAGAAATTTGTTTCTAAATGCCTCAGGAACCATACTACGTCGTCAAAGTGCCGAAATATTGCACTTTGCATGCGCAGTAGAATTGACATAGGCGGCTCATGCACGTATCGCAATGCTGACACAAAATAATTAATTACTTATTACCCGAACATTATTTATGAACTTTCATGATCGAACCATGTAAATAATGCATTGCTGACCATTCTTTAATCATAAAAGTTTATAAACTGTGCTCAGAAAGTGAGTAATTAACGATTTTGCATACTCATTGTCGTGTATATTCCTCCTACGCGCCGCCCGCGCATGCCACGGAGGAATAATAATTCCCGAAAAACTATATCCTCGTAGACTTTAATGCAAAATTGAATTTGCTCGCGCTTATGTACTTGACTTTTCAACTTTTTTGTCCACGCTTTTCTCTTGCACCACTCAACCAATTCAACCGGATGACTATTTTTGCTTTAGCGTGAAATTTACTCGCTCGCAATCTATGTACAAGTGTATAGAACTATTACTGATTTTTAAAATTTGCATAATGTCGACATCAGAATCTTAAATAATAGTATACGAAAGTATATTATAGCATCTTTATTAAAGTACTTTAGTATTTACAGAAATATTTATTACTTTTCTCGTACTAGCACCGTTTTATTCACTTCAGCGCCGTTCATCCTTTTCTTTAATACATATGTTACGAAGTTTCCTATGTTCGGCAATAAATAATATAGCGTTACACAATAATAAAATTATAATACAGATATTATACAATTAGTTTACCATTTATTATTAAAAATAATTATTAGAAGAATAATAAAAATCCGCAACGTTTTTCAACTAAATCTATTGTTTCATACAATTTTCAAATTATAAATTACCCATCAAAACGTAGAAATATACCTTTAACAGTGTTTATAAAAAATAACGACACAGCGGAACCTCCAACCCGAGGAACGTGATTTAAACGACAAAATTACAAAATTAAAGAAATATCGATCAAGAATTTCAGTGAATAGCAGGGAATAGAAAAAAAAGCTACATAACTTACTTTGAGTAATCAATTATTTATTCACGCGTCGACGTATAGTCATTTTATGTGCATTCACTGTTCCTCTTTATAAAGTCATCAATTTCGTATAATCCTCCTCTTGCATTATTAACTTCTTATATCTACGTTCTATTTCTCCTTGTAAATACATTATCTCCTTATGTCCGCGCTAGTACAAACGAATATTCGTTTAATTATATAATTACTCGCAATCTCTATAATCCATTTTGACAACTAATTATTACACAACATTCAAACATAGGATTTTAAAATCTTACATAACATAACGATTAGACTGTAGATGTTCAATCATTCATGATATATCGAGGTCTGTATAGTATAAAGATCCACAGGCTATAGATCACATGTTTTATGTACACTATACGGACTTGGACATACCATAAACGCATATACATACATCCACGGTCTAACAATAACGATCATCGTGAATTGCTGATGGGGCGATGTTTTCAAATTCAACTACATTGATGGCTTAGTGCACAAACACTATTACTGTTTATCATCTTATTTATATATATATATATATATATATACGTATATAATATAAGCATAACTTAAAAACTGTAAATTTATAAATGCGCAACAAAGAAACAATAGATTCGGGGATAAACAATAAACAAAACCATTATTTTTAACAAATTTATAAAGTTAGTTTACATGTAATTTTTATACAGCATAATGGAGTAGCGAAGAACTATTTATCATTATTTATACACTAAGTCATCGATATAAGGTAATCGAACTGCCACCTGCATACGAATGTATCTCAAAAAAAATAAATTCGACTGTATTATAGGCAAAAAAGATAAGAGAACGATTATCAAAATACACGGAACTAAATCCAGACAAAGACATTAAAGATATTTTAAGACCATGCGTATATTCTTTTCTTAAATATTAGTACTTATATCTACAACTTGACTTTATAACAAATAATATACTAAATTTCATTTAAGGAAACATAAATGATCTTAAAATACCCTTAACACCTCGCTTATATATTCCGTTATTTTAATATCCCTCGACTTTTTTTTATATTTGATTTTCTTTGAAATACATTCCAATTCATAGATAAAAAATTGGTCACTTTGTGTAAGAAACAATCATGTGCCTGAACAGCGACTTGTAAATCAATCAAGACACATATCCATTTAGGTCTTTCAGTTAAAAAATTCAGAAAAAATGTACCCTCATATTCGCCACACGTTGCCTCGCGTGTCGCTTAATTATGTTTTTTTTGATCAATTAACGCTCCATTATGCTACGCGCAACAAAATAACATATATATTCTATATACAACAGAATAATTGGATCTAACATGTCTCTGAAGGATTTACATAGATCTCTAAATTCCTCTAAGGTTCGTCTGCGCTATAAACAGTAGAAGAGTAGAAAAATGTATTGCGATCACGCGTGGACTTTGAAGGTTTGAACCCTTCCAAGAAAGTATTGTAATACATGAACAAGTGTAAACGGCTCTTTGTACTTTACGATGGTGTGTCTGACTTTGTTCAGATCGCGTACATAGTCGTGCTGTTCCTCTAGAAATTGGCATTGTCATTGTTGTAACACGGCTTTTAAATACATAGTATTTATACTTGGACGATATCTAGATTGAACGTATACCTTATTGCTCCTTATTCTAAATAGGTCTTTCTAAATCATGCTCGGTTCGCAGATCGTTTTTCTTGCAACGATATAATCAACTTAAAAAATGTACTTTTCAATTATTCTGAAGAAGAGAGATCACGCACGATCCATCGTATAATTATTCACTTCTGCTCTTCCTCTATATATATGTACATGAAATTTCAACGCATTTACCTAATTTAGTTGTATATACAAATACACATCTCATCATTCTTCTCGACACACGAATAGACTCGCTTTTTCTTTAAGAAAGCGAAATACTCGTTCACAGAAGTACCATCGTAATATATCGCTTAAAATATATTACGGACTTACTGCATACGATTCGGTTTACCCGTTGCTGATTTTTTTACAGACACATTATCCGGGACTGGAAAATAAGAAAATGGACCGCTAAAATAAGTTCTGTACAATTATGAGAGAGAGAGAACTCTTTTTCTACTTTTCGAATTAATAAAAAGCTCAACTGATCAACTTACCTAACATGTCGCGATCTGGTTCCGTCGTTATTTGCTCAACGAACGACTTTTCTAAACTCGCTTTATTCAATTTTTCACTCTGAGCGTTTGGTACCGCTGCGAGCATTATACTCGTGGAATTTTTTAATTCACCATACGACTGTTCCAACTGTTTTATCATCTTGTTCATCTCTGTGTTAGCTGTGTACATCTCGCTCACCTGTAATATAAAAGGAAAGCGTGACAATTTGTAGAATACGTTAGAATTTCAACAGCACCGGAACCGATGAATAAGATGCATATACACGTACTTGGTCGTTCAGTTTCTTGACAGAAGTCAGTACCGTATTTTTCACGCATTCCCTCTCTAGCGATATAACTTTCATGCTAACGTTTTGCGTGGTTTCTTGAAGCAACACCAATTTTTCCTTTAACAAACAGAGCGCTTAATGTCAGTGTACGATATAGAATCGATCGCGATCGATTGTTTTTTCAACGGCTTACATGATCTTTCTTTTGATCCTCTGCGACCCATTGTACGGCTGTAGACAAAGTCTCGTTGATGTTCAACAAATTATTAGTTAAATGTAAAATCGTTGCGTTCAACTGATCAGTCTTTATCTTCGTCTCGTTCGTGGACGCTATTTGAGGTCTTTGCGTTACGTTCGACAATTCTATCATCGTGTTCTAGAGTAGAAATAAAAATATAAGAAAATATGTTTCAGAATTCTATATCACTATGTAAAAATATGTGGTTAAATAAAAACGTTGATTATCGCGACCTTGATACTGCTGATGTTCTGTTGCATCGTTGCCTGAACATCTTGCACCTTTGCATTGGACTCTTTCAGAGTCTTTACCGTGGCACTTAAATCTTGTATTTGGCTACCAAAGGACACGACGCTGCTTGATAGAGCCTTTAAGTCTTTCGGTACATTGGCTAATTGAGGAGCTGCTTTGAACCACTCTTCTACCCTATGTAGATCGCGTTGAATAACGGCTAACTGAAAAAGGAATGTTCACACGCTAACGTGGATGCAGATTTTTCGGACGAAATCGAGGAGAAATTAATGGAAGAGAAGTTTACCTGCGTGGTAAAATTATTGATTTGAAGCTTGAGATCAGACAAATGATTAAAAATAATGGTCTGATTATTTTGAAGATCCCTCGATAAAGAGTGACATTTCTGCAAAGCATCGGGAACACCTTCGCTACCGGCAATCACTGCAATAGAAAAAAACAACGTTAGTAAAGTGGACTGGACGCACGTGGCACGGAAATACCGACATCTTATCGCACGTTTCGACCACTAACACCGATATCTCGCAGCTTTCGAAACGACACTCTCTGTTTTCGCTGAACGTTGAATCAGCTCGAACGTGTAATAAATTAGGCTAAATTTAACAAAGGATCGAGAGACGATCGAATTTCTGAGAATCACGATAAAGCTGATCGATTTTATCTCGTCTTGAAACAACGACGTCGAGCAAATACGTGTTTCAGTAAATACTGACTGCGTTTCATATAATAATAGTAGGAGAAAAATATTATAACAGCTGAAAGTTTGAAAACAAAAAGCCAGTATTTCGAGTAGGTCAGGATTATTCCGATTCTTATATCTTCTAGTGACGGCAATGCGTATTGCGTAATAAACTAAACATTGTAACCAATAATTGTCGACGTTCTGAAAAGTAACGTTGTACACGATATTGCATAATATCTAGACGATGCAAATTGCAGGTACAAAGCTACTATTTTAATCGGAAACGAGTAGTAGCGCTTAAAAATTGAATCTTCCGAGACTCGAGAACGGTATAGGTGCGTACATACTGTAAGCGTGTTACGATAATCGTTCGTATTAAAATGCATTATAAGCAGATTATCCGATACGAATCGACGTTGTCGGTTAAAAGAAACATGTCCTAGACGCGTATTCTATTCTGGAACTCATAACAGAGAATCGAATCGTATTTACGAGAAAAGGGTAACGATGCGAATTGATTCTATAACGCGTGTAATATCGATCTTTCATCTTCGGCATTGGTTGGAACGCGATATACCTTGATCCAGTTCAGTCCGGAGCGCAGTGAGTTGCTGACGAACGTCGATGAACAGCCAAATTAAACTAGCGGTTGCTAATACAGAGGCACAAGCCAGAAAGGCACTACAAGCTTTAAAAAATCCAGGACAAGCTCGACCTCTTCTGCCTCTGCATTTGCGGCCATTTCTAGTCGATACATTCCAGTATTCCGATCGTTCGTCGCTGCTATCTGATAGTAACTCCTAGAAATTTACGGAAGATCAGTGTCGATCATTCTGTTCGATCGGTTCTGCTTTTTCGTGTCGATATCTTTGAAACTCTTCAGTCTCGATTCGTCCTTGTTTCGATTTACAATGTATTATTATAGGAAAATTTGATAGGGATGCAATTCGTATGAAATGTCTAGTCGACGAAATATTAGCTCGTCGTACCGATAGTTCAGTGATCGGTTAATAGTTCTTTTATCGATGATAAAAGTTCGCCCCTTTTAGAGTATCGTTTAATCCATGCGCGAAATGCATTACGAATGACCCGCATGAGGCATCGATGGCCCACGTGAGTTGTCGAGAACAAACTCGTTACTTCGATCACGAGCAACTCGATCAGCTGTTGCACGTTTAAGTCTAGCGTATTCGCTGCGTAATATGTATATCACAGGTGAATCACGCGGCCGAACCACGATAACGATAAGCCACGCTTTCGAGCGACTTCGCTAATAGTATCGTTTTCGTTCGGATACAAGATCGATCATTTCATACGTTACAACTCTAGCAAAGTGCGTTGATCTCGGTAGAGATCGATAAAAGCGGCCAAGACAACGAAGAATTCCTGGTGGTTACGATGAAACGATACGAGAAATACGTACTTGGGAGCTACGTTTCCCGGAACTTCGGCGGGAGACAGTGTGCGGAGGCGCTAAGGCGTCGAGTTCCTTACGTTTCTTCATCTTCTTCGTCGGTTGACGAAGCGGCACTGTCACCGCGACCGAGTCCATTTCAAGCAACACCAAACCGCCTATCTTCGTTCCGTTCCGCGCGAGAACCTCGCCCTAATCGCCAGCCCCTCGTCAACCCCTCCGCCGCTTCTGCTTTATCGTCGATACTTTAGCAGGTTCATTTCCGCGCTCGAAAATCAACTATCGCGTTTCCACCTTTTCATTTACGCGACACCACGGACGCCGCACCAGCGTCCACGCACACGCCTACTATTCGACGTACACGTTGCAACGTCTTTCGTTTACCGATTTTCGCGATTTTCGCGATTTTCGCGAACGCGCTTCATTGTCCTCAAGGTTTTATAAACCTCACATTTTTTTCTCCCGACTGCTCGGTTAGGTCCGGATTCGAGCATCTACCGATCTACGGAATCAACTGTTGTTTTTATCGATACGTTACTACCGCTACCGTTTATCTCGCATTCTTTTTCTTTTTTATCATTTCCTGATATTTTGAACGCTATCGATCATTCGATCGCCGCCGACATATTTATCGATCGTACGTTGCCTAATCTTCGTTCAGGCGGAGTAAATCGGATAAACTTGTAGCGCATTTTATAAACGTTACCTTTGATGGATCGATTCGAGCGACGCGGCAATAAAGGAAGAAGGTCCTCGAGTACCGTCGAAAGGGGTCAGAGGAAACAAAAGCGCGGAAAAAGACAATGCCAAACGAAATGGTGGGTCCCGAGCTGGTAGGTAAGAAAACCAGCGAACGAGAAAGCAGGAAAAAGAAAGAAACGAGGACGGTGCAGATAACGTGACCATAATGATTATAGCGATTTAAGTAATATCGGCGACTGCTCAAGGCGGACTACTCGTTTAGATAAGGGAGGTCGAACAAAATCCTCGATAAAACGTACAGTTAGCGCTCGACCATCGTGCAAAAACAATAACAAAGTTCTGTCAGCAATCGCACGCTATTGAAAAGAAAAGAATTGTAAGAAGACGCGCGTAAACCGAACGCACGAAATCAGAAGCCAAGACGGAAAGTTTCGACTTGACGAAAGTAATTTGAAACTGAAACGTTAATTGATAACGAAAACGGTGCGCATCGGTGTATCTACGATTTTTAATCGAGGTGAACTTAATCGGCCTGGCTTTACTAATACGTATCGTTAACGATTTTTAAACATTCAGAAACGATAGAATTTCGAAATTTCTAATATCAGGTGTATCAGCGCTCCCTGATCTATCCTATTTAATTATATCGATAAAATTTCATTTCCTAACAATTACTATGAATATATAAAAAAACCATATTCCAATTTCCTAGAGTGAAGCGTTAAATTAGAAAAAGCTGTATCACGTTCGAATAAAAAACAAACCGAAGAACAAATTAGAAAAAAAAGTTACGAGTAGAACCGCGAACGACGTCAGAGAAGAATCGATGGTTGATCCGAGTCTTCGCTGATTCGTTCGAATGACATAAGAACCGTTCACGAGACATTATTATACTGCATTACGTTATCAAGATTATGAAACGACGCGACGCGACGCGTCGGCAGAGTTCAGTGTCACGGCGAATGTTAAAGGGTCGAGTAATCGAACAGTCGAAAAATGAAATCGCTGCGAACAATCTCGTATCGATAACAGACTGTTATCAGCTGATTCGTTACGCGACAACTTTCGCAGGTGGAATCGAGCGTTCGCGATCGTCTAACGTGTAAATATCTACAGAGATATAAATTGAACGCGCGCGTGATCGCTAAGCTGGCAAAGAGTACTTGTGTACTCGAGATCGTGTGCACCTAAACACTTGACACAACTCGACGTTGACCTTTATTCGACGGTTAAACGAGATGTTCTTGCCTTCGAATCCACGCGTGTAGGAAGCGATACATGGATTTCGTTCTATTTCGATCTATTTCGAGAGAATCCGAGTTAATCGAGCATGACTATCTCATCGATTAGTCAAATTAGTAACGCGTTCTATCTTTAATATTATTAACATCGAATGATCGAGCTATAGCAAATCAACGGTAAAAGGAGCCACTCGTTTGACTGCTTACGAGCCCTCCTTACACGCGTTCGAGAGGAGGATCCAAATGTGTCCGGCAGTAGTCGATACCGAAGCGCGAGTTGGACAGACGAAGATTTAGAGACTGACGAGTAATTTAAAATGATCTGTTATAGAAAAATCAAGCACAATTTCAGGATTTTAGTTCATTTGAATTGCATAAAATCGAAGATCTTGTAACATGTAATTATCGTGATTGATTGAACACGAGCAAGAAAACATCCAATTTACGTGGAAATTCTAAAGGATCAATTAAGATTAATAATATGTTTATAGTGTGACGAGTGATTACACCAGATAAGAAACTTGTAAAATACTACGCCTATCGTAAAAAGAAACATACGGCCTCCCGCTCTACTTGTACGTACATATATACATTATCGATCATGAACAGTCACCTATCAAATTTCTCCCGATAAAAAAAAATTGAAAAGTAGTGATATGGAATTTGAAAGCTTCTAACACTACAAACATTGAATTGTCTGTTACGCGCAATTTGAGCGGCAAACAAAACTTCGTCACCCTAAAAGCTGCGATTAACAACAGCGATCAATTCGATGATCCAGCTATCGTTTTCGTTATGGATTTACTTTGAAAACATTGTTCGCGAACGCGTACACCGTCAACACAAACTCCTAATTACCTAAAGTAAAAGAAGAAAAATATTTCGTTACTTAATTGCTTGTGAAATAAATTATTAAACAATTACATCAGATTGCAGATTACATCGATATAATAAATTCATATGCACTAAGAAATCTATCAATTTTCCAGAATATCGATTCGTAAAATTTCAATCGTTTCTTTTTATCATTTTTATCGCGTTCAATGATTTTACTTATACGTTTAAAACGACCGATTTGGGGATTTAGAAATTTCAGAATTTGCTAATTTGATCGTTGAAGCGCGAGACCGAGTACAAATATTCCTTTTACTCGCCACTAACAACGGTCTCGAACATAATTGTATACTTCAAATATTCGTTCCGTTTATTCCTCTCACCTATGAATTATTGCAAATGCAACGTGTCGTGTAATGAAATTCACACTGCGCACGTCTCTGTTACATATAAGTAAATACACACATACATATTTACCATTATTCTTGAAACTTTACTGTCACAAAAATTTGTGGGCTTAATGCAAGCAATTCTTTCGTATCTCCACCCTGACGTATCATCAAACCGAGGGGCAAAACTTTTCACGTACGTCGCTACGTTAGAAGACACTTCTACGTGTTCGCTGAAACTTGGACGCCTGGGAATCGATATTAGGACCGAAATAAAAAAAAAATCGTGCACACCTGTCGACCATCGAATGTTTAAACACCGACGATAACCACTAACGCATCTTCGTGCATGCGGAACTTGACCTACGTTGAGAATAAATTATATAGCGATTGCAATCGATTCCTGTCGTTCGAAATACACGACGAAAACTGAAATACGGTTTTATCGTAATTTATAACACGATACACTGTTCCAGTATGTTTTTAAAGTATTCGTTTTATACGCGTTATTTAACGGTTTATAGTATTTCAGAAAACAATTGACGAGAATACGTATTGAAAAAGCGTAGACAACGCCCCCAACGTTACTGCGTACCACTCGCGCCGTGCGCAAGATATCGACTGACCGAGGGTTGGTACGCAACCACCAATGCACGTTCTATTTGTCAGGGGTTCCTACAATAATTCCCTGTACATAGGGAATTTTCAATTGGTACGAAAGGAACGACAAAAAAGAAAAATAAAGATGGAGAAATAGTAGGCAATTCGCATTGTGAAAAATAGAGGCGCTGCTAATTACGATATCGATAAGTTTCGAGAAATATCGATGTAGCGAGTTTTTCACGTTTTCTATAATCGATAAATCGAATTCAATTTGAATTAAATTCGAGTTCCACAAACAAAAACAGAATTTTATAATAGATGACAGTGCCGCAATTAATTTCGAGAAACTCGAAATGTTTAATGATAACAATTGGTACTATCGATTCGCATGTTTTTTTTCCGCGCGTACGTCGTTTGAAAATCTTAAAATTGTGGAAATTTAAATTTACGCGTTTAATTCGATCGAAGATCGAAGAACGAAGTAGCGAGAGACGAGATACGATTGTGTTTGATCGTATTATCAAAGTCGTAAATATTAAATACATTAAATGTACATTAAAAAAAAAAATACTAGCATACTTAAATAATTAAAGCACAGCATATTTTGAATACATTGGTTTTTAAAATTTCTCAATGAATTTTTAATACACTCTGATTAGAGTTTCATAACTTATTTTACTATATCAATTCGTCCTGTTATTAGTTCCAGAATATAAGCAGTTCAAAGCAAAGTTAATATATTTCACACAAAATTATTTCAAGTAGTTTAAAGAATACACTGGATATAGACCGTTACTATTTTTTACTACGAATCATAATATACAAGCTATACCGATATAATTTATTCTCTTTTAATCAGATATCGACGGCGATACAATAAAAATGTTGATCTTGTAATTACCTGATTTTATGGAAGTATCCATTTTCTTTATTTCGCCGTATAAAATAACAGCTAACCAAGACAAAGCTATCAACCAGAACGTAATTAAAAGAGCTGCCAACCAGAGCGATATAATCTTCATATCAGATTTACTGCATACACAAGAATCGGTCCGTTTCATCTTTGCCGTGCTGCCAGGCCTATGTTTTCTATGACACGGACAAAGCATTTGTTTAATCTTGGAATTGAAAAATTAAATTCTAAATAACAAGTTTCTTGTTTACCTTTTTATCTTTTTCTTTTTTGGTGTAAGTACCAAGTCTGACACGTCAGAATCACTATCCGACAGTAGATCGAGAAGATTTATGGTTTCTTTGTTATTAGAGCTGTTCATTTTGCTCAAGAAAACATAGCACGGGTCACGAAATGAATAAGTTAATATGTAACTGCATCGACGTCCAGCTTAATAACATAACCTTGCTGATCAATTTATTAATCATTAAAAGATTGACTGCTTGTAACAAATTTCAGATGATTTCCTTGACTTATTTTGATTACATATTAAAAGTAACATCGCTTAGTAATCTTAGTAATTCTCACATATTATTGCTTTGGTAAATAGTTGCAGTCAAAATATCTCTCTCTCCTTTTACATCTTCCGCGACATAACCTATAATCGAGCATTCTTAATGCATTCCTACGCGGTACACTTTCTTCTCGCGTTATCTGACATCTGACGGCTGGATAAATAAAAACTAAAAAACGTATTATTTACGTTACAATAATCAATCTCGTTCCAATATCGGTCCTGTTTTATAAACGTTTTTATATATTTTTAATATCTAAAATAGACAAAATATCTTTTTCTCGACTCCGATTAATCAACAAACTGGACATTTTTGTATTCGAATTATGATCGATTATATATCGTATCGTAGATCGATTTTTTTTCTACGTGTATAATATCGAAAGAGCAGAGCGCGCGATCTCTGTTTAAATCGATCATTTTTTAAATACTTTTGATGGATATGTTTGAAAGAATACGAAATTAGTTTGTTGTTGCTGAATGTTCTCAATAAATAGTGAATTTCGGGGCTGAATCGAAACCATTAGACACTCCATGCAATTGAAACATTTTGATCCTATCGTATACATAAATGTATTGCTGATTTATAATTAAACTGTGAACCACAAAATGAAGTATCAATTTTCGATATAGAACTTTGGAAGTTCGGAGTTTTGGAATCTTGGGATTTCGGAAGTTTAGGATTTTAGAATAATGGATCTTTTTAAAGTGTTCTCGTTTTTAAGCCGCGTACACTTTCGCATGGAAAAGATCGCATTTAGGATTAAGCGCAACACCTGTGAGACGAAAGAAGAGTCCTTCTAACGCATTAATTAACGTGCGCAGCACGTTACAATGCTTTCCATTGGAGACGGCTTCGCATCCGGTAGAAGTTCAGTCAAAAACGATCTACGTGTATCGCATACGATTCGCTGGAAATTTATAAAAGTTTATGTCGTTAATAATGCCGTACTTATAATTACCCGTATCGTTTCTAATAAATCTTTGGTACCTTGAGTTTGTTCATTCTGAAAACCTTGTCAATAATCACATTCATTATCCGAAATCGATGCAAGTGAAAAAGTTGTAAATCAATGTTGAACGATGTTTGACTAGACGTTCGGCTGGCTGGATGTGACACAGCCGAATTTTAAAAAACATCAGCTATGCCGACATCTTGCCTTCGAGGCGCCCAGTTAAAATTTTCTTTTAAATAGTTCCCGCTATTTAACGAAATATTCGGAACTTGAAAATTTAGCTTTTTTTTGCATTAGCGGATAATTACTTTATTCGACGTTAGGATAACGGATACGATTATTCTGTCTTTTAACCGGTACAACCGCCAATTCTTGCGATATTTATTTGTCTTGAGAAAAATTATGGTGCCGTTAATAATAATATGCAAATCCAATAGAGGTAATCTAGTTACCTGTACACTGGCTAGCCCGGTAGACCTCCCTTAGGAAAATCTCGATGTAGCCGAAAGAGACCTCCTCGATCGTTGGTATATATTCAAAATCTAAAGATAAGAAATTTCGACATTTTCAATTTTCTATATTTCTTCAACCCTATATTTTAACCCGAGAAGGTTTACTTGCCAATCGACTGTTGTACGTACGCTTGTATAGATTAATTAAATAAGTGTTTAACCGATAAAAACAATAACAGAATATTTTGTCTCGATTAAATCGAGTTCAAGCGTATTTAGACTCGTTTAAATCTAACAATAATAACTTCGTATATATAGATATCGTTCCCTTTACAGATACAAATGTCCCATAGGTCGAGGGTTAAATAAGAAAAAAATGATAAAACTAGTAGAATCGAGTGAAACGAATATTACTGGCAAATACTCACCCGCCAATGTTTAATAATAATTTTCCAGCAATTTCAAACGACAGACGATACGCGACAATCGATCTGTACGACGACCGAACCTGTTCGCGATAGAGCATGATCCTGGAGGAAGCGGTCGAGTTTCGTGATTTGACGAAAAGGATGGACAGCTTAGAAAGTCTTGACGCGATTCAAAAGAGACACCTGCACAAGGTTGGAGACTCGCCAAATAACTGATAGCGTGGGCGTCGCGCTCGTGGCGTCGAAGACATCGGTGAAGAACGCGACGGACGTAGAGAAGAGCATGCCAGCCATTCGAGAGGGGATGAAGCTCCCCCTTCAGGATTTCTTCTTTCCAATGGTTCGCGACCGATTCGTTTCTTCCTTCTCTTCGTGTCGCTGCTTTCTGTTGTTCCCGATTCTCGTATTGTCGGTTTTAACGCGTCTCCAGGTTGCCACCTCTTCCGGTTCGCGCCAAGCGTTAACGAAGATTCCTTTATCGATGCACTCTACACTAGCACCGGCAACTACCACCTATGTCTTTACTGCGCTGCTCTTTGCATCCGTTTATCGTTTTAATAATTTTTCGATCGAAATTAGAATAAGAGCGACAATGCAGTTATCCGAAGTTGGAAACGATCGTTGTCGTAACCAGGTGTAAGACAACGCTGGCCCTCGATTTTCCTCTATTTCTTACATTGCAACGTATTGGACCATAGTCTATAATACAAGGGTTTATAATATCAGAAGGGCGTAACGCGTACAACAAAATAAATGTCCGTAAGAAATTTAGTATGAATTTCTTACGATTAACGATAAGCGATACGTATTTTCTATCCTTCCCGGAGTTCACTAATCTTGATTCCATGTTGATGTTGTTACACAACGAACCATTAACCGTAACCGAATTCGCGTAAAATGTCGTTGAAAAGCGAAGTATCGTATCGTAACAGTGTCACCGATCGAATCGCGATTACGCGCGATCACGCAGAAATATGTCCGAAAAGTTGCACGTAGGAAAGAAGTAAATAAAGAAGGAAAGAAATAGAGAGAAAGAGAGTTAATAGCAAGAGGGCTCGTGTACGAGGAACAGAGTGTTTCCCGGGCCTCCTCCGTGACTTCCGGTTATGTTGCGTAGCGCGCGTGTGTCCGACGCTGCGCTGACCGGATATGGCGAAGAACCGACTGACCAAAACGTTCGAATAGAGCCCCGTTCGCCGCTTCGCTTCGTGGTCAGCCGAGCTTTTCTTTCATGCGAATCACGTGTTCCCCTGTACCAAATACCAAGCTCGGCTACGATGACATCATACTCGTTGTTGTATACCTATACCCGATTACCTGTGAGTAGCACAGGTAAACGCGATCACATGTAGCTGCCTCGACCGATGTCCTCGCGTGTCATTTTATTGTAACGAGACAAAAAATAATTAGACAGAATTATTAAACTATTCCCGCTGTAACCGTAAAATAGCATCCATCGCCGTGTTAACTTTCAACAAACGAGGCATTGCAAACGAAATAAGATATAATCAATCCATAAATAACGTAACTAGCGATAACTCCGTGACGGCGAAAAGTATTTTTTATCGAATATCGTGTTACAATTATTTGAATGAACCATCCTCGTATTTATCTGTACCTTTATCGTTCAACTTTAACTATGCTACGACGGAACAAGGAGAAAACGGACATCCGAAGGAGGATCCGAAATAAAATTCACGACCAACCGTATATAAATCATACGTCGAGTCAGTCGATTTTTCTAAGAGGACAAAATTAGGTATCCAAATATCCAGAACCGGATGGAAGGTACGCAGTCTCATGCATATACGAGCGTTCCTTTTGCTTCTTCGTGTAAGTACACCGTTCTATGGTCTTATATATGCATCCACTGGTACGTGGTTAGCTTACTGATTAATTATTCTTCCATGAGTTTTTTCTTCTTTCCTCTGTCGATGGGCTGGTCACTGGTCACGTGAATACGACGGCGAAGAAAGAGGAGGAAAACAAACGGTAATTCACGAAAAAAAGAGGGAATTTTCGCTTCGCTTTATTCGGTTTCATTCTTAATTTTCTTATCGTATCTAACAGAGAGGAACTATCGTTCGAAATGTTTACGAGGGTAATAAACGTTTTACCCTTGCTAAAGAATAGAAGAAGGAGGAACGAAGAAGGAACCTCGCAAGAAGTAGGCCGTGCAAATGAGGTAGTCTGTTGAGCAGCTCTGCAACTAAAAAAGCCAGTCGACTGCTAATTGAAGAACAAACAAGTACAGTTCAACGCGAGATTCGGTTTAGAGTTTAGAGAATCTCGTTCGCGATGAAATTATTCGTATAGCGAAATATAGACCAATTCGTATAGACCAATCTCGAACAGGAAGAAATTTGTCAACAATAGCCAAGAAACACGTTTTCCAAACCGATTTAATCTTCTCGCGATGCAAAATCGACCGATTATTCGATTATAATAGTACATGGCAAATCGATGCATCTAATTGCAAGCCTACTATATCGATTATTAAAAATAGCGATTAACTTTAATTGAGAAGCGAACGATAACAAGTTGCGTCTGCTAAATTCTCGAGCACCTGGCTATTTTACAGACGATTCATAATTGACCAGCACCTTAATTTGCAAGCTCTCGATACAATTATCGTTAGAAGATTCGTTGGAACCGCTTTATTAACACCTGAGAACTCGACTTAACGCGTTAACTGTTAAATATTCAGAAGAGAGGGAGAGATATATAAATGTATTAGAAAAAAGTTGTTTATTATAATAATACAAAATATATTACTTGTTATAAACGAGTAATATTCTCGAAAAATCCTTACCTCCGTTACAGTAGTTTCTCTTACGTTTATAAGAAGTTTCGATTTTTTAGTTTCACCTTCGAATCTGCTGTTCCGATCGATTCACTGTTTCATCGAATCACTTGAACAAGGAGATACATTGTTATACTCTGTTAAAAGAGAAATAAAAAGAAAAATTAAAACGGAAATCAATGTAAACCACGACACTTAACTGTTAGATCACGAGAAATGGTAAAAGAATATATTGTTTCAGCCGATCGAGACCGAAAAGATTTTTTATCTGAACAATATCTCTTTTGCTTATCGCTTAACTGTGACTGATAATTCTCTTTTTTTTCGCTCCGTCCTGTTTCGGTCGATTTAACACCTGGCTCCACGGGTACTATTAACACGGCACGTTTCGCGAATCGACACATCGTTTATACCATATACGGTGAAACGGTAAGAAATCATCGACGAACAGAACTGCGAGTCTTCTAGCGGACACTACGATCCGTTTGCGAATCAGTGTCGCGACCACGAAAGACGCGGGCTCGCTTCAACCAGGAAATCGTTCTCGCCTTACAGGATGCCAGTGCGTCAATATTGACACGTTTTTTTACGAAACATAACGACGGAGAAATAGAGAGAAGAAGAGAGAAGAAGAGAGAATCGGATCTCGACGATCCTCGATCTTTCAAAAGAGTAAACAATTCTCTCTTCGAAGTGTATCATGCTTTTAGATTGTATCTTCGTCTATTTATTTCGAAAGTAATGACGCGTAAATTGTTTATCTACCATGTTTTCGCTTCATCGTTCATAAGTATCAAGTTGCTCCTTTAAAATGTTCAAAATATACAAATTCATAATTTTCAACTTTTGTATATTCGAATTTTCGACATTCGAATGTTCGACTAGTCGAATTCTCAAGTTTCAAGTTTCAAACTAATCTCTTATTTTCGATGGAATTTACAATTCTCTTTCTTTAACTTTATTCATATTGTGCGTCACTCGCACACGGACGAGCTATCCGTCTTCGTACGTTTTAAAATGTAAGTCGAAATCTGATTCACCCACGGAACATGCGTAATCGGTATAGTTAAGAAATCGAAAACTGATTTAATCGTTCAATGAACAATAACGTCGTTAACGAACCGTCTTTTAGTTATACATGTAGGAAGTTTCCGCAACAGAAACAAAATTCCCTTATCGCACTACTCGGAAAATTTTCACTCGCTTTTTAACATTATCAGGCGTTGGTATCTTTAATAAGAAGAATACCCAATTAACAAACACTGATTTAATTAAAGCATCAAAAAAAGGGATCATCGAAACAACAAGTTAAATACTCAACTTTTTTATTGTTCGTTCCCTGTGTTAACTTTTGCTTATTTAACAAGAATCGCTATGTAACAATAGTAACATACATAGTAAACATAATACTGTAACTATTTACAAGTTTCTAGAAAAAAAAGAAACAAACAAATTTAACAAATTTATAATACTCGTTTATGGTAATTAATTCAACATCGATCAAATAAAACCTATCTAATTTGAGCAACTTCCAATAAATTCGTTACGAGATCCTTTGTAACGTAATTGAACAATAAATTACAAATCTATAACAATGTGCGTGTAATTAAAACATCTTAACTAAACAATCGAACAATTAACTTTGTGCAAAGTAATAAATTAGAGTAATAATAAAATATTAACAAGAGAATGATTTGTACAATCAAATTTGGTATAATAATCTAGGAATAAGATTTATACAATGAGAATGTTGTAAAAAAATTCTCACTATACGAATGTACAATTAAAATTGTCATCGATCAAGTAAATATCAAAGAATCAAATCGATACGAGTAAAAATGTCGATAGTTACAATTTTTTCATTCAAAGATTTTCGTTTACGGTGTATATCGGTGATCGTTGATATTGAGTTCCAATTGATGTTTATCAAACGTTTAATAGTACAAAATTAAATTTTCTTAATTCTCTCTTTTTCTATATAACAAGCAGCAAACGTATACACGTTTCTAATACGCTATCTTTTCGCAACAATGTAAAAGTAATATTTTCGTATTGTAACGTATTACATTATTCCCTATTAATACTTTGAACTTACTTCTGGCTACGTAATTGGCTATCAATATTGGCGTTACTTACAATTAAATTAGAAGCTATAATCGCTTCGATAAACGTTTCTCGAGTAAATTGCATTCCTCTTTGAAACTGTATTCTAATCGTAGATATGACGTTTAATTCGGTCAACTATAATTATCTATTTATCCCATATGCAATTCAAATAATAAATTCTAACGACTATTGCCTACAATATCGTACAACGATCAACTATTATAAAACAAAGATAATTAACATAGGTTCAGTCTCTATGCAACAATAAATACTAAAAACAAAACGATTCTTCTTTCTAAAATATAACTATGTATTAAGCATCTGTCCAAAAAAACAATTATCATTGTCTATATATGTATAATAAAACAGCTGTGAAAGCACTTGCTTCGCTTAACAAAACCCTAGTCGAAGGAATAAATAACTATAGAATTCAACAACGCGGAAAAGGTCCAAGTTACGCTAAATTAAACTCGAAAGGAATATTACTAATAAATAATTATTATGATCCGGTAACGAGAATATGATCAAGCAGATTTTGTCGTTTGGTCTTCTTTTTCTTCTTCTTCTTCTTCTTCGACTAGAAGAAGAAGAAAAAAAAAACAGAAACAATTTGTATCCAATCGTACGGACAGTTCAATTTTAAAGCTTTTCAATCTTCTAGATTCCCTATCAGATAAATTTAAAGCATTTAAAATTTAAATGTAGCCGTAATTATTCTAAGGCATACGTTTGATATGCTAAATCATATTGGATCCCTACGATAGACAATTACGACCATTGGAAATAGAAACATTTTCATGGCAATATTTACTCTCGTATCGTTCTTCGATTCGTATCTTAAGACTACTTCCAAAAATGGTATCGGTAATGTACTAGTAAAAAATGTTATATAAATAGAATGAAAGACATTTCATTCTTCAATATTTCTTTTTAAGTGTTAATCTTGGTGTATCTTGCTATATTGCAATTTAAGGAATTTGTGTATATAATATGGGATTACTCTAACCCTTAAGCTTATAAGTTTGCATTGTTTAGATATTATGCGTCTTTTAGACGTATCTATGGCTATCCTAGTACAGTGTCGTTTTCGTTAGGCTCCCGCCGACTACTTTCTTGCAAATGCATTCTGTATACGTGGAACAGCTTGACATAGTATTAAAATTGCCAAGATGTATACGTCGCTGTCCATGGAGTGACCACTGTCCAAGATGGAAATTGTGCTAAAAATCGTTTGAATCTCAATGATGTTTGATGTTCGCCATGCAAAAAGTGGCCACCTAACGCCACCGATAAGCATGGAGTTTTTGGCATGTTATTCACCTGTATAAAATCATGAATAAGATAATTAGAAATATTAAAATATTAAATTGTATTCTTATAATCCTGGTGCTTCGCTTACATTCAATTCGAAAGAAAATGTAAAAGGAACACAATCGGATGCACAAGAATAATAAATAAAATACGTTTCTCTATCGTTCCATTTAGGTCCTTCTAACGGTTTACCCTCTACGACCGACCATTTTTCTAAATGAACCCCTTTGTACGGAGATAAAATTATGCTTATATGATCTGGACCTAGGAATAAAATTTACAGGTACAAGTTTAAATTGGTCATTCGATCGTTCACGCATTCGTGAAATTCAAATTACCTGTAACATTGAAAGTGAAACTGACAATATTTTGTTTCGTTGTTTTTGAAATGAGCTCAAGTTTTGTTGGAATACTGATAAGTGGCGCAGGACCTGGAATCCAGCTTGTTTTCCTATTACGTTAGCGCAAAATTGTTTTCGTATTAGATAACCATAAACTCCTCGATATTTTTAGTACAGTAGAAAACATACCATAAAAATGTTGTAACAGGCATAAAATATGGTAGACCGCAGTACAACTCTTTCTCGCAATCTTTTACCGTTGGTGTTACAGCACCTATTTCAGGTACCATAGCTTCCACGCTGTGTGGGCTATTCATATCTAGATCAGCTATCCAATATCCAGTTCCCGAATACCGTAGGTTACCATTAATGTCATAATATTGTCTTTGCGAGTGCTGTAAATATTGACATGTTTATCAATAAATACTTTCGACTCTAAACATGGTAACTGTAAAGTCATTACCGCGATCATAAATCGTTCTGGTGCCAAAGATGACAAATCACCGCTATAAGGAAAACCGAGCGGAGTCAGAATCAATACACCGATAGTTATTAGAAATATTCCAACCAGCACGCTTAGAATGCGTTCGGCGTTTTTAATCAAAAGTACAATTGGTAACTAAAAGGAACATATCGATTATGAAATTAATAATAACAATAATTGCCTTGAATCATTAGTTTTCAATACTTTACCGTGAAACTAAGCAGTAAACAAAACAATATGCATAACATGTTAGCCATAACAACTTCGGAATTTATACTACTACCAGATCGTCCCATTATCGGAATGAAAAGATAAAGAGCTCCTATTACTAAATAAAAGGACTGTATATAAGGTAAGCACATTGTTGCTAAATAATAAAAAAGCCATTTCCAGCCTGAAAGATGAAATTTTAAAATGTATATGTACATCTTCATACATCTTTCATCGAACATTATAAATTCGGTAATAATAATTGTACCTCTCCATTTGTTAAAGAAGTGATATCGAAGTAAATTTCCAACTGTGGGAAATACGACCCAATGTAATGGTATGAAACCAGATCGGATTTCAAACAGAACACAACAGAAGAGAATAGACATCCACATTATAGAATATGCATCGCAATATATTTGATATAATACCCATGTAGACTTAACCTCCTGCACGGAAATCAATGGAAATACAGTTTTAAATATTCATGAAATTATATTCGTACAATCTGATTTACCTTCTTTTGTCGTGATCCAACATACGAGAAGAATGTCATCGATACGAAAATAGTTGGGCATACGTATAAGAAAAAAAGCCACGCTGGTCTTGCATACCAACTCATAACTTTCCCAAGTTTTGTAAGGATCAGTGCAATCAATGTGCACGATAAAATCGAGACTAGCCATGAAATAATTATTGCCCCAATACATAATACTAAATGTTTTAAGTATATCGATCTTTTCGCATCTAAATCAAGGGCGGAATTTCTAATTATGTTAAGACTGTCGCATATAAATTAATTCACCTTAATTATGCATACATACCTCGCCGTGCACTTTTAGTGTTTAGATATATTGAATATATACCAGCGATTATACTAACGATATTAATTGTGCTTGCCACGTATTGCGACCATCTGATAACAAATGCGCCTAAGAAATCAAAAAACACGAGATTCCCTACGTTCTCTTGAAACGCAGCCTCGGACAAATAATTTTCTAAAACTATCCCTTGTAACAGAGCGAGAATATTATCTCCAGTTCTTTGCAAAGATCCTAATGGTATTTGTTGGATATTATCAAATTTTGTATGGTATACGTAGCCATTGGTTGCCCAAGCAAAGTCAAGACCTGTGATATCATCAAAATAATTACAGATACGATTTCTAATAACGCAAAAGAATACTAAATAAGAATAAGTCAATTACCTACCAGAAACATTTCCAAAATCTCTAAAAATTCGAAAATCAGTATCTCCGGGTACGATACCACTTTCAAATATTTCTTGAGCTAAAGACGATGCGTATGGGTAGGGGACAGACTTAGCATATATCTACAATAAATTATTGATATAAAAATGTCACTGATTATTGCACAGATATATAAAGGCATATAATTTAATAATACCTGAAGAATCCAAGAGCTGTCAGGTCCAGCCTGAAATAACAATTCGCGACCACCTGCACCACACGCCTCTAAATTTATAAAAGCACGCACTTCCTTAGCCCAAGGATGTTGTGTTATAAAGCCATGGGAAGCCTGCATCATTTACATAATTAATATATTTTTAAAAATAACATAAATTTAACTTATGCTTCTCATCACCAAAGTATGATATACCTGTAATAAATTTTCTTCAGCACCATTAAATAAAAATATAATATTATGCTTTAACAACTTTGAACTATGAGCAATTACACGCAAAGTTTCTAACATCACAGCACACCCAGCCCCATCATCAGAACCACCTATAACAAAAGATTATAAAAATATTTGTATATATGCAAAACCATTGAACCATCTTCTTGATAAATCTTACCAGGACTTTCAGGAAAAGTGTCAAAGTGACAATTTATCAATAGACTGCTTTGCGTAGGTCTATGCGGGCCAATTTTAACAATGACATTTTGAACATTTCTATAAACATTTGTCATTCCATCAAGAAATTTTAAGGGAAAAGCTCCACTATGTTTAGTTACATTGACTAAAATCTTATGATTTTCATTGGCATCTTTAATTATGTTATTGATACTGTTTGTTAAATATTTAATAGCCAATACTTCATTCTCATAACTTCCAACGATCCGCGGACCAATGGATGTAAGATTTAGAAGGTGATTATGTGCTCTTTCTGCTATAAATCTTTCTGGGTATAGACCCTTCTTACTTATCATTAACGGTTCAGGCAATTTTTTTTCGAAAGCAATTATGATAATGGACAAGAAAAGATAAAATGTAAAAAGGAAAAGCAAATGTTGAGTTTCATTCGGCAGTATTTCCTTCTTCTTTGAAGAAGTTTTATCTTCGTATAGTATATCACTAGAAGATCTTTTTGTAACATGCTGACGTAATCTTATTCCGTCTCCCTGGAAATAAACATTATTGGTATACAAAAAAGAAGTAATTATATAATAATTCAAAGAGAATGTTACCATTGTTTATATTTAGAGACGAAAGGCACTTTTGAAGACTAATGTAACGTTTGGATCAGAGTTAGATTAGATGAGGTCACTTTCTTCAGATTCGCTTGATATGCAGACTACACACACTGTAAAATATACCTAATCAAAATAAAATTTCTAACGTTTTTGGACTTTTTATGTGAACAAAGTACAAAAATAAAGTGTTATGCTACTAATCTTCATTTGCCATGTCTATGGTCAAAGATAGTAATGATTTTTATTAAAATAATTTTAAACAACATATTGCAAATGTCTTTAAAATATTCAAATGACAACAATGCCCACCTTTCGTTGTATTTATATTATTTTGTTTAATCGTCACGGTTATTAGTCGGTAATTTTAGATTTTTCTTTACATAATTCCACATTAACATTGTAGACTATGGACCATTATTATCAATTAGTTTAATCTTTATTACAAGCATTCAAACAGATTACAGCTACATGTATTCATGAGCCACTACGATTAGATATCGTATCACATTTTTTGAATAAAGGCTTATGTAGGTGCACATTTATCCGATACTCGTTAATACATGCATCGTGCTTATGTATGCGTATACTCGAATATGTGTAGCGTTTCAGAAAAGTTAACGAAAATAGAGTATCTATTGCGATAAAGTGCAAATTAAAAAATAATAATTAAAGAAGCAATTAAAACGTTTGTAAATCACGAACATCTTTTAATTTTTAATCCAACGAATGATTGGTGTTGTATCTTGATCGTGTATAAAACTTTTATTCTCGATACTACTGACGTGTAGTTAAGTATATACAAAAGAAATTGCTCGATCGTGCAATTATACAATATCACTTTTAAACGAGGAATTTCAATTATTCTTAACGAAGATTTGGCTGTAAATGGGACATGAATAATTAATTTTCTTAACAAAAAAAATTAATAAAAGAATTTAATTTTGACTACAGATATCTTTAATTTTTTTTACTAGATAAATTACTATTGGTTCAAGTATAAAACAATGAAAATTAAAAAAAAGATATAATTACACAAAACATCCATTCGTTTACTATCATCTGTAGTAAGTGTTTAAAATTTGAACACTTACAGACTCTATTATATAAACTCTAAACAGATCGTAAAATCTGCTCATTACAGTGCATCTTATGCTTCCTTTAAATAAAAACGGCCGTAGGGGAAAACATCGTCCATTACTTACTTTTTATTTTATTGGAAATTTCCAAATCTCTAAATTTCTAAATTTTCAAATTTCCTATTTTTCCAATTTTCAGTTATAACATTTTCAAATCTTCAAATGTTCACATTTGCAAAGGCCTTCGGAAGGAATTTTTAAATTTTTGAATTTCTAAATTTGACATTACGTTAATTTAAACATTGACCAACCAAAAAGCAAGTGATAGAGGGACTCCTTTTCCCTGCAACGCCATTTTTCTGAGAGAAACCTACTATGCTTGGCCAGTTTGCCAGTGTTCAGTGCAACGATAAGGTTCTGATGGTAGGGACCAGATTTCACAACTAGCAGACGACCAAGTCTAGCAGACGGCGCATAACTAGCGTCGTTCGCGGGCGTTCGTGATTTTCTTTTAAATCGAAGATTGATTGAACGCCGAAATACACACCTACTGTGAATAAAAATTATATTATTTTGTGAAACGAGTGAAAGTCGGTCAAAATGGATCCCGAAGCATTCCTGGACATGGCCAATCAGGTCATTAAATTGAAAATGTTCCCATACTTCGATATCGCGCATAGCGTTCTCTGTGCGTTACACGTCAGAGAAGATTTAGGACCCGGTAAGCTCAAGCCCACCCGACCAATTCTAAATTTAATCCGGCCAGAGCCAGCTTATACCTTTTCTAAGACTGTATGTCACTCACTTTCATTTTCTACTTATTCTTTTTGCGATGATATTTATTTCTTTCAATAATTCTTCATTTCTATTAGCAATTTATCCACTATCGTTCGTTGGAATGGTTGGTCAAAAAGTGCATTCCATTTTTCAATACGTGAAAATAATTAACAATGATTTTAATCTTATTAAATTAACGACCTTAGTAGTTTGAGGTCTTTGTTTATATTCTTTTTTTTTTTCCTTTTTAATAGTTTAAAGAAATAAAATTCGTGTCAATTGCAATTCTTATCTATAAAGTTAAAAGTGTGTTCAGGAGACTGTATACACTATACAAATTGTTTAAAAATAATAATAACTTTTATAATTTCAATTGTTCTGATACTAAAAACATCATTTAAAATTATCACAGAGCTTTTCGTATCTTATCTGGCACAATTATAACAATCCTATTTTGTGGCATCCATTGAAACTACCCAGCTAATCTATTTCAGTATACGCACTTGTAGGTACATCAGAGTTTCTTTAAATTCCCTACTTTAACTATTAAAATTTATTAACTGTTTATATTACTTATAGATGATTATACCTTTTTTTTTTATAAGTAAATATTTACGAAATTAAACATTTACAATATAAAAATGTATTATGGAAGAAGTAGTCATGATATTTCCTTTCAGCAACTTTCTTATGCAATAGACCATGAAGGATGACTTTTGAATGACAATCCTTGTTTCTGTCTATAAAATTTGATGTTTCTTTTACAGTGCATTATAATTTTTAATAACAACAGATTAAAACATAACATATTACATGGAAGATTCATAAAAATTTTGTTATCAATAATTTACGAAATTGTTTAAAAAGATTAAAAAACTACTATTTTACTGTTTATAGCCACTTGGTATTATGTTTGTACAGGTACATGTAACATAGTATACTTGTAAGGATTCTAAGCGACCTACTTTAAGCAATATACCCTTTTGATATTTTATGGGATGTTAAATGTTCATAATACATCACAATACATTATTTCATGTATAATAACACAATATTTATTATTTGTATAAGCTGTTGCGACCTGGTACTTCAAATTTTCATTCAATAGGTGCCCAAGCATTCTCTCGGAAACATCCCCTATCATGTTGGCTTTCCACGATGTTGGTAGTATTTGCAAGTGGTATGCTATGCAATGGCCTTTTAGGGGAACCAATCCTTGCACCTTTGAAGAATACACCACAAGTAGCAGTTGCAACTATTGTTTGGTCAGTATATTTCTTCGGTTACAGCAAAGATAATAGTTAATTAGAGTTACAAACATTTTATTTATAAGAAATAAAATTAATCTATTAATTATATAGGTACGTGATATTTTATACACCATTCGATATTGGATACAAAGTAGCTAAATTTTTACCAGTAAAGATTGTATGCGCGACAATGAAAGAAATATACAGGTAAGTAAATGTTCTTCTGTTACACTTTTCCTTTTTGTTTCTACTTTGTACATAACTGATGTATATAGGTGTAAGAAAGTATATGATGGAGTAACGCATGCAGGAAAGCTTTATCCAAATGCGTATCTTATTATGATCTTAATTGGAACGCTCAAAGGTAAATATTAGCGTCTGAACAATGGAAAAAGAAAAACTATACTATTTTACTTATGTATAATTATAGGAAATGCTGCAGGATTTACAAAATTATTTGAACGTCTTATACGAGGGATATGGACCCCAACTGCTATGGAATTCATGCAACCTAGCTTGTATGTTTGCTTCTTCTTTTCTATTTCTTTGAGTTTTTCCAATTTATAAAATAATATAAATGCGAGTAATTTTGCATTTTATTGTTTAGCCCTACAAAAGCGTCGATGGTTGCGTCTATCATCTTCGTTCTAGATAAAAAGACTGATCTTATTTCGGCACCACATGCATTGGTTTACTTTGGTATTGTTATCTTCTTCGTGTATTTCAAGGTAATAAACATTTTTATTCACTTGTTAACACTATGACTGTTTATTTTGTATTTGATATAACTAATATTATTATTATTTTAGCTGTCTTCCATTTTACTTGGAATTCACGATCCATTTGTACCTTTTGAAAATTTGTTTTGCGCGTTGTTCCTCGGAGGAATTTGGGATTCGTTAGCCAAATTATTGGGGCGAGGCCAAGCTAAAGATGAGAAAGCAGATGCCAAGAAAAAGGACTAAATGTTTGTAAACTTTATGCATGTAATGTTAGATAATATTATACGCAATTTTGTTATTACGTAATTTTAACGTACATCATTTAGGACGAATACGACATCTGTCTGTTTGCTTTTTCACAGGTATATAAATCTCTACAAAATTGACATTAATATTAGCAATAACATGCTAAATATCAGTGAATGGAATCAATTTAATCTAGTCAGACGATACTCGCATGTTGAAGTGTGGCCATCGACAAATCATTAAATATCAGAAGTACAATAACTTATTGTTATACATACATAATATATATATATATATATATACACATACATACATACATACATATATATTTTAATAATGACAGATGATACATATTGGAGAGTACGATTTTTACCTTTAAGAAGACCAACAGTATTATCTCGGTTGACAACAATTTACCGATGTAATAAAGTCTGTAACTTTGTATAAACACTCTCCAGAATTAATCTGACAATTTTATAAGAATAACGTTATGTTTGTTAAAGATGACGCGTAACTAACAATTGGTTATTTTTCATCAAATTATTCTGATAAATTACGATGCAGAAAGATAAAACATGATTAATTGAATATTAAAAATATGTCCCTTGTTGATTTTTAAAAATAATCTATATTTCACAAATGTTTTAACAATCGAATTTAAACGTTGTTGACATAATATTTTGTAGCATGAAATGCAACTTTTTTTGCAACGTAAATGTGTGTTAAGAGCATTGGCATAACTAAATGCGGACTACAAATACAACGCGTAGTCATATGATGCGTGGTGATATAATATGTGGCAATTTAAGGCTGGTTCTCCTCAGACAAAAATTCGAGTTACGTAAAAGAATACGAGTTATTGAGGACATTTTGAAATTACTAATTTATTGAGCGGTACTTACAGAAAAGAAATCTAAAAAAAAAGATATACTCAGATTAACAACAATTCAGTGCAAAGAGATATTCAAGTGTTTATACAATTTTTAACAATGATAATACAAAACATAATCAACGAGGGAAATTACACCTCTTTTATACTATTTTATTACAATGACATACCGTCGGTTAGAACCTACCACATATATGTATCAAATATTTGCCTTCGATTTAACGATATGAACATAATTTACTATGAAAATTAAATAATGTAATTTTCATATAATATTCCATTTGACGAAACGTTATACATTTTCATGTAATAAAACGAAGTTTTCTCTATTACTATATAATTTACCATCTCCTGTACATAATCATTAACAGAAATTAAAGAACAAGACAAGTGGATTGAAGCACTTCACGATCATTTATATATTTTATATGTATTTTACGTGAATGAAAATTGAATTACCTGTTTATTGCACATTTATGTGATTTTATACCCAAGGGAATTTTAGAGGTCGATTTATTAAAACATACATCTACGTTTGCCACGTCTGTCCAATTACTGTTTGCTTTATCCTTACAATTTTGATCACATATGTAATTGTTAAACATAACTGATCGTTTGCAGTAATCATTATCCATCAAATTTTCGCGTTTTTTTCGGTTTATGACATATGAAGTACAAGTTGATCGACCACAGGTTTCTGCACGTTTATCAACAGAAACATCTATACCAGGACACGTAGTCAACGTTTCTTTATCTGATTTCACAATTCCTTGATTTTCGCTACATTTTATTAAGCGGACCAATATGGGATCTCGTTTCTGGGTACCCACGCTTATCTTATTCTGTACAGTTTGTTCATTCACATCGCGTGCGAGTAACTGCGTCAACGATCCATTTATATCTTTACTGTTTGGCAAGACGAGAATTTCTTTATCGACGTTTGAAAATTTTGTATTCGTTTCTTTTGTTAACTGTATATTGTAGTTGGAAACTTGTTGTGTTTCGTCTTGTTTAGTAATCGTTGATTTGGACATTAACTTCGAATCGTTATCATTAGTCATTGTTAATGTACTTGCATAAAAAGTAGGAGATTCAGTATTCGTAGAAACTGTTTTTTCTTTCGTTTCTTGAGAGGGTGTGTTCGCATTAAATTTTTGGTAAAATTCGTTCGCTTCGTTTTTAGTAGCAACGCCAACATCTAATCCTAATATTCTAATCGTATCTTCTCTAATTTTGTTTAATATTTCCGACACATCGATTGTACATCTTCCTATTAAACAACATACATACTTAGCTTAAATTAATGCTTATCAAAGCGCGAACATTAAAAGGTTGTATGAACTTACCATCGGTTTGCGTATTCGACGATGATGATTTAATACGGCATGTATTTTGTTCATATTTAGAAATTAGAATGTTGCACAGAAGTTGTTGTAACAGTAATGCTATTGTGGAATCTTTCTTGATGAGATGCATTGGGTTGCGTGGACATGTATCTACTCTACACGGTTCCGTGTATTCCTGTGCTGTCAGTGGAAATTTTGTATTAATATTAATATTGCCCAAACGCTTAAGATATATATGCTATGCAGTACTCGATACATGTTGCTTACATGTTTAGAGAGAGTTTAGAAAAAGCTCAGGTTTGAAGGCTAAAGAGAGTCTAGAGAGACCCTAAGTTTAAGTAAAAGGGAAAGTTCGAGCTATAACTATTCTGAATGCTTACTTCCTGTTTCCGTTGATTTTCTCAAATCAGTATGTTGTACACAATAATTTATAGATCCAGCAGACTTTGCCCGAGTAACAGGAATATTTTTCTTATCCAAAATACATGGAACAGCCTTTGAACAAAGTTGCATAACATTTTCCGTAGTCACACAGGCTACGCTACAAACTTGATATGCAGAAGTAGTATTAGTTCCAATTTCTGTCCTATCAGATGATCTATTAGAAAATAGATCGCCACGGGATACGCAAATAGTGCTTTGAATCCCTCTTGTTACTTTATCTATCATATTCACAGATATTCCCTTCGATCTTGTTTGATAAATCATGCTTTTATTGTCTCTACTGTTTTCTTTCTCGTCAGTCTGAAGAGAAATGCACCGCGTTCTTTCATCACATTTGCAAATTGTATTTTGTATTCCTATATCAGCGTAATTTACAGCGTTAATTTCCGATTCATTTGTTCTGGTTTTATCAATAGTATCTTTAGGGGGAAATTGTGTTTCCTTTGATTTTGATTCTGGTCGAATGCATTGATCTACTTGAATACTTTGAAGAACAGGTGATGTAGCATTTTCCTTTGTGTTTCCTTGAGACCCTGATAACATAATTTTCAAGCAAGCTTCTATCATGTTACCTTGGAATTTATTTGCTGAAACAGGATCTAATTTAAAGATTTGCGTTTGAGTAGGTACACTCACAGAAGTGCCAATTTTTGAAAGCCTTTCAGTCGTCTCCTCGCACTGTACTCCTATATCTACTACTCTTTTAGTTTTTGCGACAAGTTCAACAGGTGGCCTGGTTAATTCTGTTTCAGTAAATCTATTAGTTAGAGTGGGACATGGTACTTGTTTCGATAGATCTTGAAGAAGCTCGAAGTCTCCAGAATTATTCACATATTTTTTCATGTATTCGGATTCGTACGATACATCTAAAAAAAAAAAGTAATCTATTGCTGTTGCTTCAGAATACAATCAATAATTAATTTCTTTCTTTTTAGACTAACCATCCCGTGTTACTTGATTACATTCAGTACATATCATGTATGTTTTACCAGTAGGGTCCTTACTATAACTAGCGCAAGGTATAAAATTCTTCTGTGTATCCATAGGCTTTTCCACATTTCTTACACATTGATCATCATTTGCAGATTCCCAACCACAAACTGGACACCGTAGAAATCCTGGCTCATAACATTTGTCACTTTCTGGCCAAAATTATAAAATAAAATTTATCAAAATTACCGAGTTACACTGCTTTCATTATATTTACTATAATCAGTACCATTTACTGCAGGATCAGTATCTTTGATTGATTTATCATTTAATAATGTAATCTCTTTCTTATCTCTTAAAGTGTTATTTTCTTTTTTAAATTGCGAACAAGGAATGTATCTGATTCGTACATTCGATTGATATCCATCATTTTTGTTAGTCGTTGATCCACGATGTTTTCCACGAATAGATTTTTCCATAGATTTGCTTCTTCTAATTATTCCATCACATGTTGCATCGGTACATGGGTCAAGTCTGACAGTTTTTGTTTCTGTCTTAGTTTTTTCTTTACTTTGTGAACCCTTTATATTATCACTACTTAAGGATTTGAGAACTAAAGGTGTATTATAATTTTCAATTCCTGAGTTTGCTCTTTCTTCTTCATTGATGACTTCCATCAACATTTCTGCCACTATATTGTACCATGGAAAGGGAGATTTGTAATGTTTCTGCGATTGTATGCATTTTATTGTCCGTGCTTGCTCCTGCTTGTATCTGTACCAGTAGAAATGATTACAAATTATTTCTTTACATTATATACATGTACACTGAAGGGTACAAAAAGTTTCGTTACAGAAAATGGCGAGATAGAAAAAAGATACTCCACCGCGTGTTAGTTTTATAACAAGAATTTACATTGCATCAACGTGTGTAGAATGCTCCATTTATTATAGGCCATTCATGTGTTAACAACTCAGATTATTAAAAGTATATTATTGATAAATGGAACACTCCATATACATAAATAACTGAATGCTAAATAATCGTTTGTTTCGAGTCGAAAACAAGTTACTTTTTTTTTTACTTTTATCAGAATTTCTGATTATACACTACTTTTCTCTTATGATCTTGATTTGTTGCAAATAGTCGTTTACAGTAAAGCCGGGTATATCGAGAGCGTCGATAATTTTTCGTAAAGCTGCATTCTTTTCGTGGCAATTGTAGTAGTTCCTGTGATAAGGATTCCAAAGGCACGGATGTTGCTTGTACGTCTTCAAGAAACTAATTACTAATCCCTCATTCCATTTTAACGACATTTTACAAATGTTTTTACGAGTGCTCCGATTACGTGTTTGAATAAAAATTATGAACGTGATATCTTGTACCTTAATAATTTTACATACATTTATATGGTTAAGTCAATATTATGCAGTTGAAGAACATGACTGAACTTGATCGCGCGATAGATCGAACAAAAGCGTTTGTCAAATTACTATACGTTACTTTTATTAACTTTTTATTATGATGTTACACGAATCTTCTATAAAATACAGGTACACGCGTTTGTATTTGTCGCGCTAATCAATGGGTACCTCTCTCCCTCCTTCTTACCTGAGTGTGTAACAGCTATAAATAAATACATACATATTTACGTATCTTTAATCCTTTGCAATCCTATATTTTGAAAATTATTACGAACTGCAATGGATTAATGCAATTTGTGGATGATAATTATACGATGAAATGTCGAAATTCAATTCTTACCCTTAATATGCTTTAATTAATTCCTAGCCAAACGGTTTTCGGCATCATTTGCAACGAAATTTAGAAGATTGATCCGTCTTGATCATAATAACCGGCAAACCACAGCTACAAATCATTTCTTTTTGAATGATTTCACACTCACTGCAGCTAGACGAAGCATAGCATTCTGAACATTTTGATTTGATGTTATCAAGACGCTCCTGTGCAATCAAATCTTGTATACGTTTCTCCAGTTTAATCGCAACTCCTAAAAACAAAGGTTTATCGATAATCGTTTTGACATTACGTTATGGGGCACAGGAATTACCAAAATCCATGTTTCGTAATTGAAACGCGATACTCTTTCCAAACATGTGAAACTCGTCGTGAATTTCCTTTTTCCATGTATTATTCTCATCAGTTGATGTTTTATCTACATTGTTGCTGTTATCCTACAGAATATGTTAATTTTGAACATTTCCAAATTTTAAACACAATTTAAATAATGTAGTTTTATTTACCGAGTCACTCTTCAGTGATGTAGGTCTAGATTCCATGTTTTTCATATTTCTATTATCTTCTAGACACACTTGACAAGTTGTACAATGCATTGTGAAAGAAGATACGTCGGTTTGTACTGCGTGTTCTGTACCGACATCTTTCCTGTTATTACTTCCAACATCGTGAGTTACTTTCTGTGAAAACAGGTGTAAATAATTTGTATCTGTAGTGATATTTTCACCTTCTGTTCGAGACTTCAGATTTCTAAACAAAAAATGTTAAATGATTTCCTTTTTCCAATAATATCATAGAAGCATAATAAATTACTTGGAACACATATGAAATTTATCTGTGTATGATTTATTACAACGACAATTGGCATAGGGGCAACCACAATCTTTTCCTGGTGAACCTAATTCCATAGATGTTAACTGGTTCAGTTGTTTGTTTGTTTCATTATGCTGATAATCCTTAAAGACATTTTTTTTATCATGACTTATCTAATTATGATATATGAATCAATTTACGTAAATGAAATTTATAAAATTATATACGCTTGTATATTATTTGCAAAACAGTACAGCTATGTTACAATAAATATGATATAACATAATATAATGTACAAACTACTTAATTTACTTATTTTTTATAGTTAAAAAAATAATCAAATATGTAATCTTTGCATAAACTTTTATATGTACATTCTTAATGGAATTTTAGCATGTAAATGTAAATATACCTTCCACAAATCATTTGTCCAATCCTGTGTTACAAATGGAAAAAATAGTTGATGTATCAGCAGAAACCAACTTGCTGTTGGTTTGTAAAACTTTTCACAAGATATTGCAGCACAGATTTTGGACAATTCATGGCAATATTGAGCTTTTATAAAAGTAATTCTTTTGATACAATCACAAACTGTCAAGCCACAAACATTCATGCGATCCACAATATTTTTGTATGCTTTGTAACGACAAAGTTTATTTTTAAAATCAGGATGCAAAGGATTCCTGAGGCACTCGTGTTCACTATAAAGAGTTACTAGTTTCAAAGTTTTACTTGTAGTCCATGCAATTGGCATGATAAACTGCTGCAATTAGTGATAAGGTTATTTAACCCTCCATTTACAAAGATAGCATTACTTGCATATTATAAACACTTTATGTTGCGTATAATTTGAATTCATATTAAAATTTGTTATGAAAATTTTTAAATGAAAAGAATACAGTGGAAAGATTGTGTTTGAATTATACATTATATGTATGTAAATTTTAGAGATACAAAAATTTTGAAAAATAAAAAAAATGAAACAATACATGAAGTATACAATGAATCTTTTTAGTTATTGATTTTTTCATGATTATTTAATTTGTGATTAACAAGTATGCAAAGATCAAAAAATTTATTTAGCCACATTTCTTGTTAAAAGCATCACTATATTTTATAAATTAAGTTATTTTAAATAATTGTAAAAAAAAAAAAAAAAAAAAAAAAAAATGAGAATCATTTATAATTCAACGAAATATAATTGGTACTACTTGAATCTTTCAAATGTAACCAGTGTCCTTTAGGAAAATGTTCCTCATTATCTTAAAGTACACAAGAAGGGAGCATTTCGCTGAAAGACACGATTTAAATCTGTAAGTCACAAGCAGTACCAGCTATACACCAGGCAGTTAAAACTTCAAAGTAATGTGTCCTCTATTGCAGACTAGAACCAACAGTGAATGAAACAGAATTTTATATTTTGAAGCTAACACTTTGCTAAAAAATCCCTTCTTTTTCCCATTCACATTAAGATCATATGAATTTCATGTTATGAAATATACCGTTTGCATTCATAAATAATAACGTAATTTTTGAATTTCGATTCCTTAAACACATGTTGTAATCATTGAAATTGAAGTGTCACACCGCGTGAATATAATATTTGCCAATGTAATAATAATTGTTTAAACGTTTTGTGGATTTACAGTTTACATTTGAAGTGCATAATATTAACAATTCTTGTATCTTACGTCATTAACAAAAATATACATTTTGACTTCTAATACAAATAAATTTGTATGAATAATTTTGTTACCCATGTAACATCATATTATATACAATGACATTTTTGTATAACAATTTTACATATTTTTATACTTATTTGTTGTTAATATTATCCTACCGTGTTTAATACCTATATCATTACTTGCGCTACTGACACAATTTTATGACGTGGATTCAATCGGTGAAGACATTGCAGGTAGTTGTTGAGGTACAAAGTTTATAACTTCATGATAAACAAGTTCTAAAAATAATAATGTTCAATTATTTTTATGTTGAATTTAATTTCTCATAAAAAATATATGAAAGAGGTATTTCAGACCTTTCCATTTTTCAACCGGTAAATCCATATCTTCAAAGCTTTGATCATATGGTAGAGATACCGGTTCGTCTGATGGATCAGCATATTGCGCAAGATACGGATGAGCTAGAGCTTGTTCTGCTGTAATTCGTTTTTCCGCGTCTAATTCTAACATTAATTCAAGCAAATCTATGGCTGGAAGATGATATAAAATGTATTTAATTCGTACTGCTTATAATAATAAATAACTTTAAATAAATAATTTCTTTATTCCACAATTACCTAGAGGATTAGCACCTCGGAAAACATCTTTGAAGTTCTTTTTCTTTAATGGAGGTAGGCTTTGTATATAATTTCTTGCCTAAAACAATGTTGTCATTTACTTTTCACTTTTATATTATGCATATCATTTCGATATTGCACATCAATCGGAAGTTATATAACTCGTTAAATAGTTGGTAAATGGTAAGACTTCGCTTCATATGCCATTAAAATATTGCTCTTAGCGCATATTTTTAATTTCCTTTTTATGCATATAATATAAAACTCAAAGCAAAATCATTAATTAATTTCAATTTAATGTATTGAACGTGGTAATAAAATATAAATAGTATATAAAAATGTAAAAAAAATTAATAATTCATGGAAAATCGATTTAAATAATAGCTGAATAATTTTATAAGAAATATTTACTTTAGAAAAACAAAAAAATTACCTCTTGGCTCGTAATTTTGCTTAAAGTTTCTTCTGTGGGAGTACCACAGAGTACTAAAACTCGTGTTAGATGATCAATGTCTGCTTAAAGTTAAGGTATGTTTAAAGCATAATTCATTATATACAATTAAACAAAATTTGAATTAGTACAAAACTACACTTTTTTTCAAGCATTTGTTGCAATATCAAGAATAAATAGTATGTATAAAATTAGCACTCATTAGGTGAGTTTAATGAAAGACGAGTTTAATATAAAACACTATATCTACATTTGATTTGTATGTAGTTAAAAGTTTAGTAATTAATACAAACACACGTAACATGCAAGGCGTTTATTTGCAATGTGTCACAAATAGGCAATATGCACTAGTTCCTATTAGTGTTATTAGTCAATTTTATTATTCCACAATTTTTTGAAAATTACTTACCGACTCTGATGATATTTTTTGCATAAACTCGTCTCGCGGAGTACCCAGTATCTCCATTATTAAGTTCAGTTGATGTATATCTGCTCTTGCTAAGGTTCCACCACACCTTTTTCTATTTCCACTAAATACTTCAGTTATTATATGTATATTATGACAAGTGATATTATTTTATGCATTAAAGCATATTAAAAGACGTACACATACGTGTTTATTTTTTCTCTCAAGAAGTACACAAATAAATAATGTTCTTTTGTTATTGAATTCAAGCTAAATAAATAGAATTTGTGCCAAATAATAAATAAAATAAAAGATATTAAGATATTAGCACTGAAAAATGTTAAAGCAAAGAAGAAGCCATGTAAAGCCTTAGCAGAAAGCATGTCTTTTAATTTTGAGATGGTTATAGGTTTGTAATATTTTTTATACGAGTACGATAAAGTTTGTACACACACAAATATGATATAGTTAAATGGAAAGCACAAACACTGATTATGATTATAGAATATCAGTATTTAAAAAAGATTAGAAAGCATGTTGACAGAAAGGATACGATCCGTTCCAGGAAATAATGTTCGTCCTGTTAACAATTCAGCCATTATACAGCCAACAGACCAAATGTCGACTAAAAAATATAATTATTTTAGTGTTATAAGTTAAGATTAATTAATTAGTTATAGACAAGGCCTATGATTAAACTACCTGTTTGATTATAGTGCATCCAATTAAGCATAATTTCTGGAGCTCTGTACCATCTTGTTGCAACATAACCAGTCATTTCATTCTCTGTAGGCCTAGCTAATCCAAAATCTAAAATTTTTAGCTCGCAATCTTCATTTACAGCTATGTTAGAGGGTTTCAAATCCTAAACAGAAAAGGTGATATTTTGAAGGTATTTCAACTATATTTAACTATCAAGTTAAGTAAGTTATATTACTTTACCCTGTGTATTATGCCTGCTGAATGAATATACTTCAAACCACGAAGAATCTGATACACAAGAAATTGTACATGATCATCCGAAAGCTTCTGAGTCCTTACAATATTATTGAGATCTGCACCCATCAAATGTGTAACTAAATATCTATTAAAAACATATGATATTACTAAAATACAGTGATGAAAATTTAAATCTGCTTTATTTGTTAAAATCGGTTAAATAAAACAATAAAATTATTTATGTAGTACATACACTTGCTGAAAATCTTCCAAAGATGAAGATGGATGAAATACATCTAATAGACCGATTACCTACAAAAAGCATCAATTAAATATTTCGCAATAACTGGTGGAAATTAAGCTAAATACATAATATCGTTAGTTTTAAGTTCAAGTGCCAAGATAAAGTATTTCAATGGTTTAACTTTTCATAATGCCAACAATAAAAATATATTATGCATGTATAATCTGTTTGTGTTGACTTACATTTTCATGATTCATATGTTTCAACATACGAAGCTCTCTATATGTACGTTTTGCGTGTACTGCTGACTGGAATGGTCTAGCTAATTTTTTAATCGCTACTTTTTGCCCAGTCGTAGTATCAACTGCTGAACTAAAACATTGTGCAAATACAGATACATTTTAGTCGCATCTTTACTTTAATTTGAATTATAATATCAATTATGGTTACAACAATATTTTATGGACATTATATCCTTGAAATTGAAAAGCTTCAATAAATTCTATTTTGAGGATCAATTCTTATTTTCATAAAATACAATTAATATAAATATAAAAGAAATTATATCATATATAGCATCATGTTTGTTTATTAAAAACGTCGTATCCCAAAATTTGTATGCACAATAAACAAGATTATTTTCGAAAAACGAATTAAATAATAGATTCACGACATTCATATTCTTGGAAAAGCATTGTCAAACATTCTAATTATAGTTTGTTTGCGATATACAACGAAACGGTGCGCTTGCGACAATTGCCGCAATCTCTTCTTTGCATTCATTAATAACTTGAAAATTTAATGTCGGGAAAATATAGTCCATAGTTTTAAACGATAAAATGAAATAAAAGAAATGCCAGAAATGTCAAGGTTGTAAATCGATCGTGATTATAAATGCTGAATTCATTACGAGAAAGGGAATAAGATTGTTAAAACACTGTAAACAAATTATAATGATCACGACAATCAAAAATCTATTTTAAAGTACAGCAATCATTGTTAAGTTTATTAATGGTAGTTTTAATTACTTTTTTCCTTACCACACTTGACCGTAAGCTCCTGATCCTACTGCAGTGAGCATTTGATACCGTTCCGGAACCTCCCATTCGGTCCGATTTATTTCAATTTTATGAAACTGCGGCATGCTATATACAATTTTTAACTCACTCTAGTTAGGAAAATTTACAAGAGTACGATTAAAACCACAGAAATTTGAATTAACGTATGAGACAGTACTTTACAGACACTTTCAGCATTTCCAAATTAGCCCACTATTAAAAACCACTACATCCATCGTGTGTAGGTTTTCTATAGTCGATAGCAATATCGATATTAAATATAAATTTGTCGAGTAATCGATTAATATTTATCGAACGACTACTTTTCGATAATTTATTTCAAAATCTTTTATTTGCCATAAAATTATATAATGTATATAAAATTTATTAGAATTGCTATTACTGATAGAAGAGAGAATATTTTTAGATCACATGAATATCTACTTATCTATCTATTTATCTCTCTCTCTCTCTCTCTCTCTCTCTCTCTCTCTCTCTCTCTCTCTCTCTCTCTCTCTCTCTCTCTCTCTCTCTCTCTCTCTCTCTCTCTCTCTCTCTCTCTCTCTCTCTCTCTCTCTCTCTCTCTCTCTCTCTCTCTCTCTCTCTCTCTCTCTCTCTCTCTCTCTCTCTCTCTCTCTCTCTCTCTCTCTCTCTCTCTCTCTCTCTCTCTCTCTCTCTCTCTCTCTCTCTCTCTCTCTCTCTCTCTCTCTCTCTCTCTCTCTCTCTCTCTCTCTCTCTCTCTCTCTCTCTCTCTCTCTCTCTCTCTCTCTCTCTCTCTCTCTCTCTCTCTCTCTCTCTCTCTCTCTCTCTCTCTCTCTCTCTCTCTCTCTCTCTCTCTCTCTCTCTCTCTCTCTCTCTCTCTCTCTCTCTCTCTCTCTCTCTCTCTCTCTCTCTCTCTCTCTCTCTCTCTCTCTCTCTCTCTCTCTCTCTCTCTCTCTCTCTCTCTCTCTCTCTCTCTCTCTCTCTCTCTCTCTCTCTCTCTCTCTCTCTCTCTCTCTCTCTCTCTCTCTCTCTCTCTCTCTCTCTCTCTCTCTCTCTCTCTCTCTCTCTCTCTCTCTCTCTCTCTCTCTCTCTCTCTCTCTCTCTCTCTCTCTCTCTCTCTCTCTCTCTCTCTCTCTCTCTCTCTCTCTCTCTCTCTCTCTCTCTCTCTCTCTCTCTCTCTCTCTCTCTCTCTCTCTCTCTCTCTCTCTCTCTCTCTCTCTCTCTCTCTCTCTCTCTCTCTCTCTCTCTCTCTCTCTCTCTCTCTCTCTCTCTCTCTCTCTCTCTCTCTCTCTCTCTCTCTCTCTCTCTCTCTCTCTCTCTCTCTCTCTCTCTCTCTCTCTCTCTCTCTCTCTCTCTCTCTCTCTCTCTCTCTCTCTCTCTCTCTCTCTCTCTCTCTCTCTCTCTCTCTCTCTCTCTCTCTCTCTCTCTCTCTCTCTCTCTCTCTCTCTCTCTCTCTCTCTCTCTCTCTCTCTCTCTCTCTCTCTCTCTCTCTCTCTCTCTCTCTCTCTCTCTCTCTCTCTCTCTCTCTCTCTCTCTCTCTCTCTCTCTCTCTCTCTCTCTCTCTCTCTCTCTCTCTCTCTCTCTCTCTCTCTCTCTCTCTCTCTCTCTCTCTCTCTCTCTCTCTCTCTCTCTCTCTCTCTCTCTCTCTCTCTCTCTCTCTCTCTCTCTCTCTCTCTCTCTCTCTCTCTCTCTCTCTCTCTCTCTCTCTCTCTCTCTCTCTCTCTCTCTCTCTCTCTCTCTCTCTCTCTCTCTCTCTCTCTCTCTCTCTCTCTCTCTCTCTCTCTCTCTCTCTCTCTCTCTCTCTCTCTCTCTCTCTCTCTCTCTCTCTCAATATATAATAAATATATAATAAATAATATCAATGAACGAAATGTACGACAAATCGATAGTACAATATCGATGATTTCTCTTACTTTCTTATACATGTTTCATGTTGTTTTTTTATGTGTTCAGGGATATGAAGTGTTCATAGTATAATTGTTCTGTACTTTTGTGTCATCTTCGTTACTAGCGACATTAATAAATGACGTGTTAAAATTGTTTGAAACATGTCTCTCTGTGGATCAGCGAATATGAATACAAATGACAGCGAACCGATTGAATATGAACCTTCGATTAGGAACGTGATCGAACAACGATCTTTACGATGGATATTTGTCGGTGGCAAAGGCGGAGTTGGTAAAACGACGTGCAGGTAATTATAACCTCTGAATATTGTTTATCACAGGAGTTTTAATAAATCGTTTTATTCCTCAGTTGTTCCTTGGCTGTGCAATTGTCGAAAGTCAGAGAAAATGTACTCATCATTTCAACCGATCCCGCGCACAATATTTCCGATGCGTTCGATCAAAAATTTAGTAAAGTTCCAACTAAAGTAAAAGGTTTTGATAATCTTTTCGCCATGGAAATAGATCCAAATGTTGGCATTACAGAGTTACCCGAGGAATACTTTGAAAACGAAGCAGGTACTTTTTTCTTTTTGGTGTTAAATCTGTAAGTTACAAATTTTAATTAGGAATAAGAATTACTTTATTGTAACCACTTTGTATAACAGCTTTAGGAGGCGAAACAATGAGATTAAGTAAAGGTATAATGCAAGATATTGTAGGAGCATTTCCTGGAATCGATGAAGCTATGAGCTATGCAGAAGTTATGAAGTCAATAATTAATTATCTAGTTACTATATCCACACAGATTGATAGTTTTTAATAATTTTGCTTTGTCTTTCTAGACTCGTTAAAGGAATGAACTTTTCTGTTGTTGTTTTCGACACTGCTCCAACTGGTCATACTTTAAGATTATTATCTTTTCCACAAGTAGTAGAGAAAGGATTAGGAGAACTGATGTGTTTGAAGATGAAAATTAGCCCTTTTATTACACAGGTTTGAAGAGTATAAAATATTTTATGGAGTATAAAGAACACTCTACATCTTGCAAGATGTCTAATAATTGCGATCATTTTGATAAATAACAAAAGTACACAAATTATATTTTTATAATTGTGTTAAAAAATGGTAGGCTTTACAGTTATACAATAAATAGTATTTGTATTCTTTCTATTAGACATCTTATGTGATATTGATAGTATATACTAGTACCATTTCAACGAGTAACTTTAATATGAAATACATTTCATTGCAGATAAATTCATTACTAGGCATGACAGGTTTCAATGTAGATACATTTTGCAATAAAATAGAGGAGACGCTTGTTGTTATTCGACAGGTTAATGAACAATTTAGAAATCCTGATCAGACAACATTTATTTGCGTATGCATAGCAGAATTTTTATCACTTTATGAAACAGAAAGGCTTGTACAGGAATTGACAAAGTGTGGTATCGATACTCACAATATTATAGTCAATCAGTTATTATTTTTAAAGGATGGAGATGCACCCTGTAGACTCTGTCTTGCTAGACATAAAATACAAGATAAATATTTGGAACAGGTAAAACCGGGATATTTTAATTTTTACTTGCTTGGATATAAAAATATTATAAATTGATTATTTAATTTTCATTCTAGATAATGGACCTTTATGAAGATTTTCATATTACTAGACTTCCTTTATTAGAAAAGGAAGTTCGCGGTGTTCAACAAGTAAAAGAATTTTCTGAAAATCTTTTGAAACCATACAGACCTTAATATTTATATAACGAATTTGATTTAACGAGAATACATAACTTTACGTATAATCAAAAATTTTATTAACCAAAAGGAATTACACACTGTGAAATTTGTATAAAAGGTAATATTTTTATTTATGATATTTAGCAAGAAAATATTCTTTCGCATGTATTTGAATGTTTGTTTTGATATCTATACATTAAACGCTACTTGTTCGACGTTATAAAAATTTTGTTTCTTTTTTATACCATACATTTAACCAACAGTTATCAGAAACGATTTTTCGTAATTTACATTTCTATTTTCATGCGTGAATTGTAAAACGTATCAACCAATAATCCCAATTTCTTTCCCGACATTTATAAAGGCACTTACGGCGTGTTCTATATCCTCCTGTGAATGTGCAGCACTAATCTGAACACGTATACGTGCTTTATCCTTTGGTACTACAGGATAACTGAAGCCAATAACATAAATTCCTTTCTCTATAAAAAAGTGTTTTATCTATTCAAAAGATGTTAATGATTTTCGCTGAAATTTTATATATAATAGTATAAAATATTAACTTATCATCTTATCAGCAAATTCAGTGGCTATCCTTGCATCACCTATCATGACAGAACAAATGGGATGATTGTCACCGGTAATTGTAAATCCTGCTGCTTTCATACTATTTCTAAACAAATTGGTGTTATTTTGTAACTGATCTAGAAATTCTGTAGAGTTACTTATTAAATCCATGACCTATATAAAATATTAGGCAAAACAATAACTGTATCTGTGTGTAATAAATTAAAAAATATGTGAAAGATAAGTAATATTTTTTTAGAGTACCTTGCTCGCTGACGCGACTACAGGAGGAGGTAATGAATTTGAAAATAAATATGGCCTGCTACGTTGCCTTAATAAATTAATCAGTTCATTTATACCGGTCGTATAACCACCTGCTGCTCCACCAAGAGCTTTGCCCAATGTTGAATTAATAATATCAATACTTCCCAATTGATTAAAGTATTCTTCTGTACCCCTAATATGAATTATTATGATAGTTTACATATATGCATGTATTAATAAAACTTTGAAATATAAGTAATTTATATCAATAAAGAATATTATTAATATTAATTCAAGTTATAAAGTAATAAATGTAGGAATACCTTCCAGTTTTTCCAAAAAATCCAGTTGCATGACAATCATCCACAAAAGTAAGAGCATTATATTTGTTCGCAAGCTCAACAATTTGTGATAATGGTGCAACAGTACCATCCATGGAAAATACACCATCCGTTGCAATAAGACGCAAACGAGAAGACATGCTATCTCGAAGTTTATTTTCTAAATCTATCATGTCTCTGTGCTTGTACCTTTACAAAGTATGATTTAGATATTTACTTACCTAAATTAAATATTTACCTGTACTTAGTTAAGTTACATACCTATATTTTCTTGCCTTACATAATCTAATGCCATCAATAATGGATGCATGATTAAGTTCATCGCTTAATACTGTATCTTCGGACGTTAACAATGTTTCAAACAATCCAGCATTTGCATCAAAACAAGATGCATAGAGAATGGCACCTTCTCTGCCATGAAACTGAGCAATTTTCTTTTCCAATTCTACATGAATTTCTTGAGTGCCACATATGAATCTCACAGAACTTAAACCAGCTCCATACTTATCTAAAGCAGCTTTTGCTGCTGAAATTACTTCTTTGTTATCCTAAATATGTTTAAATGTACTTAATCAATATGCATTACTTTGATATTTGCATTATTTGTATACTTACCGATAAGCCTAAATAATTATTTGCGCAAAAGTTAAGAGCTTCCACTCCATTTTTTAGCGTAATTCGTGTCCGTTGAGGCGAGGTAATTATTCGTTCATTTTTCCAAACGCCAGTTGCTTTTATTGTCTCCAACTCTGGTTGTAGGCATTTTGCTAAAAGACTCATAGCTTTTTGCGGTAACCATTTCTTATTTTGAAGTTTGAAACCTGCTAAAAATATAAACTGTTTAAATTCACAATTTTTTAAATAATTTTTCATCAAAGAATTAACTAAATATAAAGTACTTTTGTTAATGATAAAATTCATGTTTCATAGACCAGCTAGTAGTACACTTTAATGCATATTGAATAGTGTCTACTTGTAAAGAAGAGAAAGTATAATAAACCAGTCAAACCTGTTATAGTGGTGTAAGAATCTTTAAACTTAGCAACATTTTATAATATTGTGCAGGATGATTCAGGCATATTCTGTCAATCGGAAAAGTCACATTGAAGGATATGTTTAGTGGAAATTTGGATGTTTAGTTTTCATTACGTTTATTTTACAATCTTTTTACATTTTTTCTGGTACTTTTTTTTTAAATTTATTTTTAATAAACATTTATTATAATTTATGTTTCAAGTTACTTTGCCTTATCTAACAAATGTTTTTACAATATTTTTCATGTATTCTAAGAAAAAATTTGTTTTGTGTCCTATCATTCTACATTCTATGTATATTATTGAATTACATTCGTTCGTACACAAAACAATCGTTAAGAGTACATTACAGTATTAATATTGCATATTATGTTATAAACATAATAACTATGTAGTAAATATATCAAAAGAAATGATTAGCTTGTATTTTAAGAAAATTAGCAATCTACTATTCTATGTATAATTCGAAATGTTTATTTTTATTGCTAGATATAAGTTAAATAATTCTGGATTCGTATTTATGCTTAAATTTTCCAGTCTTTTTCATTATGAATTGCATTTTCAAATCTCACTATTTGGTCTGTCATAATTTGGTCTTAATTATCACGCATTTTTAAGCAGTAATTTATCAGAAAACCTCAATTGACAATGTCTTAAATATTTGTATCACTGGCATTGCTTTTATTAAGTGAAAAAAGGGGTAAGAAACCAAAAAATTGTACTAAAATTATAACGTTTAAAGATATTTACGATGCAATGTGTAGATAATCTTTAATTAATTGTTAATATGAGCAAAATTAATGTACATAGTTTTGTTCAATTTTTGCTTCATACTTGTAACATTTGTTATGTAATAAATTCATTAAAGGTTCGATGCGAACTTATTACAATGCAGTAAAGAAACTTTTTTTTTTTTTTTTTTTTTTTTTTTTTTTTTTTTTTTTTTTTTTTTTTTTTTTTTTTTTTTTTTTTTTTTTTTTTTTTTTTTTTTTTTTTTTTTTTTTTTTTTTTTTTTTTTTTTTTTTTTTTTTTTTTTTTTTTTTTTTTTTTTTTTTTTTTTTTTTTTTTTTTTTTTTTTTTTTTTTTTTTTTTTTTTTTTTTTTTTTTTTTTTTTTTTTTTTTTTTTTTTTTTTTTTTTTTTTTTTTTTTTTTTTTTTTTTTTTTTTTTTTTTTTTTTTTTTTTTTTTTTTTTTTTTTTTTTTTTTTTTTTTTTTTTTTTTTTTTTTTTTTTTTTTTTTTTTTTTTTTTTTTTTTTTTTTTTTTTTTTTTTTTTTTTTTTTTTTTTTTTTTTTAAAAATTTTTTTTTTTTTTTTTTTTTTTTTTTTTAATATTGATTCACGATGTTTTGTTCTTCATTGAAAAGCGAGTCGCTAAGGAATATGCACGTGGAAAATTATGTACGATCACATAAACAATTCCCAAGTATATAATGATGGCAATTGTAAGGAAGAGATCAAATACAGCCGGTTTTACGCTGAAACGTAATATAAATAATATTACTTACAAGGGATTCTACTAGCGATAATGATATTTTTGTAAGATTTACCTGTATACATTTAAATTAGCTTTTGTAACATCGTAAAATACAAATTCTGGGTCCTGTTTGTCAGGACTGTGAAAGGTAATTTTGACATCACCAAGATATCTAGCCATCCCTTCTTTTAACGTACCAACTAATACATTAGCCTTATCTGCTAATAATGGAGCTGCTCTTGGTTGTGAGGCTAAGTAAGAAAACCATAAAGATAACGACTCCTTAGATACATCCTAAAAATATAAACTGTAGTAGATAAAAGTACATACATTTTTCTCTACTTCAAAGAAGAAACAAACATACTAGTGGTTCAGTGAAGATTTGACTAGAGCTTAAATTATATATATGTCTTGCCAATGCCTCTGAAACTACTTGGGTATGTTTGTACAATTTATCTATTTGCCCTGTTTGTATAACATCTAAAATCGTTGTCCTTATTGGATCTTCATGGCTTTTCAAAGTAGATAACGTTGTTGCCGGTAATCTGCGAATGCTGTATCTTTCGTGTTCCCACGCTAGAGTTTCTTCAGCTAGATTTATTTTCTTATGTACACCTTCGACGGTAGTGGCATTTAACGACTCGGACACAGCTTTAAGTTCTTTGTAGAAAAGACCACCTGTAGAATTTTCTTTCGGCGGTTTTGAAACGTGAACATAAAGATTATCGCTAGTAGATACAGTGTCTAGACAAATTACATAAGCAGCATCCTATAAAAGCAAGTATTAAATTATCCATACAAGTAATCTAAATAATATATATAACACAGTAACAAATATTTATTAAATATGTATTACTTGTATTATGGAACCTTCAAGTCCATCCAATTGATCTTCCAACCATTTTTTACTACCTTGGTAATTAAGTTTGCCAGCCCCAGTTATAATAAAAACAAGATTATACTGGGGTCTTGATCTACTAGTAGAATATAAAATAGAGAATAATCTTGCTATTTCCAACAACATAGCTACTCCAGATGCATTACTGTCTGCTCCAAAAGATAACTCCTATTTATTAGCAACATATATATCTGTTTACTTTTAAAACTTTTACCCGTATAAGACAAATAATTAACGGTTCACTTACAGGTGCAACTCCAGCACTATCATAATGCGTCACTAAAGCTATCGTTGGTAATTTCTCTTCAGCTCCTGTACCAGTTAATTTTCCATGTAAAGTAGCTACTTTAACATCTGTTTTAGCAAGCACTTGTCCAGTCGCTACAACTACTTGGTAACCACTTGCAGATATAGAATTAAACATTGCTTCAGCTGCAGAACCAGCCTTTTCATCGGTAACAAATCCATTTGAAAGATCTTCTAAAATAGTTTGAAGATCCGGATGCCAAGATGTGAAATATACGGGTATCGTTGTTTCTGGTCCATATAACATAGCTTCTTCCAAGCTCATAATATGCTGAAATATAAAAAGTAATGTACTTAATTTAACCAGATTATAGCAAATTATTTATTATAATTATAATTTGAACGATATTATATTATTCTCAAGACCATATAATGCAATTTAATGTTTATCTGTTTGAAAGCATGTAATTAAATCAATTATGATCCTATACAGAAAATTGAAGGCATCGCATATATGCAACATTGGTAGAAAATATGTGTTATATCGAAAGTAAATCTGGTTATTAACCTGTTTCTCTTCGTATGTCAAATCAGCAATTTTCTGTGGAAGAACTACTATTAAAGCCCCTGCCTTCTGTTTGATGGTGTGAAATAAACTTGGAGCAAGATCTAATGCCTTTGTAACAACACAATGTCTAGAAGTACTCCATCCTGTAAGGGATCTTGCTTCCAAGGAAATTGGGGCAGTACGACAACCTAAACAGGAATCATATCACCTAAATTATAATCATACTGCAATGAAATGTAAAACATTATAGCAGACAGTCTTTTACCGTGAGGTACACCGTGCAAGTCATACTGGTGCATTCGATATACAGGGAATTCGTGCGATGCAGCAACTGGGTTAACCGGAGAGATAATAATGAAAATCGGTAAAATTATCAATAAATAGTACGGCAGATAACCACGACATAATTCTGCAAAACTATCGCACTCCTCCAACCACATATTTTATTGCAATCTTTTTCAGTAAATTGAATTTCAAAGAAATACAAATTTCAATTTTCATTGACCTCTTATCACGCGTCCGGCTACCTACAGGCAATCTTCGACCCAAGTATACCGATACCAGGGCCACGAAACACTGGTAAAATTAGTCACTGATTTCAGCGTCTTCTACCATCACCGTTCGAACTAATTTGCGCCCCCTTGTGGCTCACTCTCAATAAATCGGTAAAGCGAATAAACGCAAAAATTATATTCAATTGGTTCCCATCGTTCATCGTTAGATGGCTGAACATTTTTATGCCCATGAAATGGAATTTTTTTCAAATTTTGTATATAAAACTTTAAGTCTATTGTTAAGTCGTTTCTGTGGTTTTATAGTGGCCGCAAAACAATTTGCGAGTGTCAACATAAACAGAAAAATACTTTGTTTCAGGAGAAAACGCAATATTTTGTTTGCCTGCTAGATGGGAAGTGCGAATATTAGATATTGCGAGTGGTAGAGACCTGCAGCAGATCAACTGCTCCTCTCGTTTGACGTTGTGCCCAGAGAAGTTAGATTTGCACTTATAGTTCCACAATGTGTTATACATGTATATTTCCGTTATATATGTATATTTCCGAATAATACTCTTCCATTTTTTTGTCCATTCTTGCAGAGACTTATGCAAAGCCATATAGCGAGAGCGTAGATACGAATGTTCGTAAGTCCTTTGAATCTGTAATAAAAGTTGAGTTTTTAATGAAATTAAAATTAAAAGGAAATAGCTCGCATTTGAATGACGAGATAAAAATTGGAGATATTCGATGAAGGATTCAAATGTATACGCGGTAAAGTAAAATTATTTTTTTGCTTTTACACTTTTGAAAATTACAGATCGCTTAACGTTGCGAAAGAAGGACAACCAGTTTTCAGAACGTAACGCTAATGGCTGGCAGGCAATTCACTTTCGGTTTCGGTTTCACCAATGTGAAAAGGCAAGAACCACGCAGAGGAGAAAAGAAAGAAGGTGGATGTCCATACCGTAGTAAGGATAATTAAGTGTCCAACATGTCGAAATGCCATTGTTTGAATATATCGTGACATTTGTTTTCTTGTCAAACGTTTTGTTACCCATTAATTTATGTTGTGGATAATTAGTTATGAACCATCTGGTTAGGGCTCGAAGCATACAAATATTAATTATTAACAAAGAAATTAATTGCATCCTGTCAAACTACCCAAGATTAATAAATATACAAACAAAATATGACTTCGTCTTTAAATAAGAATTATTAAATAACAATGCAATGACGGATCTGTCTTCGATCAACTTTCGGTAAGCTCACAAAAAGAAAAAGAAGCGACACTGATTCGCAGGTAGTCTCTCACGAATCACCCATAACGACATAAATGATGTATGATTAACGCGATCGGTTCCGTTCCGACTTCAATTTCCTTCGTAACTATATATCATCTTTTACGTTTCGGTACGCGCCATTTCGATCAATCAATCTCGAAAACAACTTCTTGCTATAAAGAACATATCAGAATTTTTTCTTATCTTATTACAATTTAAGATAACTTGATTGATTTGGTTTTTCATCTATTTACTACTTCCAATTTTAAACACTTTCTGAGTATTATGATCTTTCATGTTAGTCTTTCCCTAGATTCTAATCGATCCCTTATTTTTAGGTTCTACTTATTAGAAATTTGTAGTCTGATGCAAATTGATGGTATGAAAATACTAGAAAATAGCGCTTGAAACAAGTTTCAAACTGATGTAACACAAATGACACTCATTGTCAGCCATTTTATATTGATAATACTAACGCGATCTGTTTTCTTATATTTTAAGATTGAAACCGGTGCTGTTTTACTGTGCGCGTTAACAAATCGTGAAGTTGAACATTTCGTATGCACCAATTCAACCTGATAGCGGATGTCCTAAGATTTTAGGCACTTCTTTCCTAGGTCCTCGCTAGACCTTCTATAGCTCCATACCAAGGCCAGATGCGCATATCAGTCGCTTTTAGAAATAATTGGAATTCGTTTGCGTTATGCCGCAACAGATCGGCTATACATTTGTCGAAACGCAATCATCTGAAGCAAAGAAAAAATTGATTGTCGCTTTTAAAACGTCGTACAATATGAAAAAAAGAAAGCAGTATACCATCGAATTACCGGTCTATGGTTTCTCGCCTACCACTTACGCAAGATTTTCATCTTGATCGGGAGCATGCTTAAAATTCGATCGTCACTCCCTCGATCAACCCGACCTTGTTACACATAGACGTTGAGCAATCCTTGGAAACAACTACCCGAAAAGTCACGTTTAAAGGCTTCGAGGTACTATCGAGAGAAGCTGCAAACATTATTTAAAAGTTGTGTAAACACGTAATTCCTGAAAATCAAGAGAGATACAAATTCGCGAATAAAATATTTTTTAATGTATATTTATGGTTCAATTATCCTTGACCACCCGTCGATGTACAGGGTGACGGTGAAATTGCGTCGCGCGATAACGATCAGCCGCTACGGTCAATTTGTTGATGGCAACGTTTATGCGGTTAATTACGAAATCCGTAATTCTCGCATCATGCCTTAATAATCAAATTAAAGCGCGGTTACTTTTTACTGTTATTCAGTATTTTTCAGTTATTTGCAACAGCAGCGCGTTCACAGTTAATGGGCTATTATTTACGATACTAAAAGAAGCTCCTTTTTTTTAAGAAGAACAATATCTCTGCTTCCTTACGATTTCATTTCTTTTATAAGGGATCAAGTTATTCGAATCGAAATTAGTACGGTAGAATGAAGTTTGGGTTCAGGGTACAACGCTTGCGGACCCGGAACAGAGCCTCGACTTCTCCGAATTCAAATTGACTGTTGGATGGTTCGTTTCGGAACACCCCTGTAAAAAGGAACACACGAGTATTTTTAAACTGTCGATGAGAAAATAACTGTGTCGTGAACAAAAAGCAGATCACCTTGATTGCTCCATTCAATGGAGAAATACAGTAAAAAAATGGTGACGAAACGCATCAAGTTTTGGACCAGAAAGGATCCTGTATTGCATCATCTTGTTCTCTGAATTTTCCACCGAAACAATTCATAATTAGTTCTTAATTATTTATATCGTTGTCGAGATAAAACAATAATGCGCGTATTTGAATTTTAGAACGTTTACAGGAAAACATTTTCAAATTAGAAGATTTTCAAAGCAGAAAATCTGTTCAATCGACATTTGACCGGATTGACAGTTTCAGCGTTAAAACGTTTTAAATCGCTATGTTCGAAAAAGTGAAGACTATTTCGATTGATTGTTTCGGTTGAAACGTAGAATTTCATGCAAGCAATTCGATAACTATTCTTTTCTCGTTTTTACGGAGGTTCCTGTAAATCGGTATCAAGATTTTGTGAGTGTTGAATTTTACGCGGTCCCAGGAGGAACACGAAACGAATATCAATGAAATTCTAAAGCCAACGACCCGGTCGAACTCGCTGTTTTCACTTTCGAACAGACGAAATCCTTTACTATTGAAAATTCCTCTCGTTATCCTTGTTCGCGATTCGCGTTAGAAGAAGAAAATGCAACGGAAATATCTGCTCAGGAAGAAAGTAAAAATTACCGAAAGAAGAACTTGACCGACAATTAAAATAAAATAAAAAATGAAAAGAAAAGTTAGAAGAATTTGTTCGAAATATCTCATATATTGGTTACCGTATATTTTATGTTATCACAAATGCCTGCCGATACTTGTAATCGAACAAACACTCGGCTGCCAATAGAAAAAAAGCCAGTAATCGATAATGCGAAATAAATTGCGAAAGCCATACACAAATAATCGAAGCATAGAAACAGAATGTCGATAGTTGTCAGTTACTATGAAGAAGCAGGTTTTTCGAAGATTAAACACGTGGAAGAGCAAAGTAGACCGACCCAGTTTTGGTCAACTTTGAGTGTTTGTTCATATGGGAGGGGTACCGGAACGATGGTTTTGCGAGAAGGGGCCCACAATACGACCCCGCGACCATATAAGCAACGACCGCTGCCATTTACGGGACAGAGTGTTTCATCCCTTCGTTGATTCGCACGTCGTTTCATCGACGATCAAGGTAACTTTGTCCGATGATTATAGCTTTCTCTCTTATACCTCGATTTGATCGGTGATCGGTATCAAATCGTAACGTACGCTATGACCGTTAGAGATGCATCTTTTCGTTTGCTAATGTACAATTACAGCGTTCTTAAGGAATCATCTTCTTGATGCCGTTTCATACTTATCTTAAATATATAAAATAAGCGATGATATATAAACTAATAATATACCTAATCGTAACAGGATGCAGTTTGAAATGATCTTCGTGGTAGTAGCGGCTACATTGCTGCAAGGTGGATACGGTGGTTTCGTGTCCGTCAGGATGCCGTACTTGAATCCGGCAGGAGTAACATACATCGACAACGTTCAGCCCGAAGCGCATCTTTACGGGGTTCCTGCCAGAGTGGAAGCTCAGCATGTCGGCTATGCTGCCGCCCAAGTGCCAGCAGTAGCTGCTGTGCCGTTCGTCAAGCACGTGCCTACTGTTTCTCATGTGCCTGTAACCAAGATCGAAGCTCAACACGCTCTCTTAGAGAAACAATTGGACGTAGTGAAACCTGCCGTTTCAACTCGCAAATTCGAAGTAAGCGATCATCGACATTTCTAAATCGATTGTCTATTCTCCGTTCGAGGACTTTTCTTTCAAACTATCCTTTATTTTTCCCGTTAATTTTATCTGTTATTTCGCTTACGATTATCTTGTTTCGCTATGAATTTTATGTACGTACATGTATTAGTAATACAAACATTGCGCAATTGAATTTTTTCTCTTTTACGTTACCTTTTCTTTTTTGCAGGCTTTTCTTAGCCCGCAACTAGTTTCTCCGTCTCTAACTTAACTAGCTGTTCTAGTACTTATAAAATTAACGAATAATACTATATGTTTCGTTAGGTCCGTCGTCCAGCCATACAAAAGCAATTTTTCGACATCGAAGAACGCGTGGTGGTTCGTCCAGCCGGATCAGCGGTAGTTGAATTAGATCAACCAACCTCGAAGACTCCAAAAGGACCAGCTGTGATCCAATCACTGTATCCGCAATTCGAAGCCGGGCCATCGGTCGCTCCGCCGGTAGTTTCTTCTACTCCAAGCCCTAATGACGACGAGACCGTAGTCGTGGAAAATCCTGACTTCCGCAATCGTGCTGCACAAAACCAGGTACGACTTTAATCTTACTCTTATCAGTAACAGTAACCACGAAAGACTCGATAATTGTTTGAAATTCAGGCTAACGCACTTGGAGCACAAACGAGAACCAACATCAACGGTGCACAGTCCGGAGAACCGTTCGTTGCTCACGATCCGACACCAGGCGTTGTCGTAAGCCCGCAATCCTCCCCTGAACAAGATAGACAAAATCAGAACAAACTGCTCGAGTTGCTCACTGCTCGTGGCAACGTTGCCGAGGTAATTTAACAAAATTTATTCAAGAAAATTTCAATCGCATTACCTAATTTTTCTTAGCGTAATACTATTGACCAATGTGATATGCCCCTTCAGGTTGGATTCAATAACCTCGGACTTTCGAAATCCGTCGGAGATGCAGGTCAAATACGGGGTCGGGTAATTTCCGCGACTCCTGCTCCAGAATACGCGGATCCTGCCGACGAACGCGTATCCACTCGACGAGTCGTAGTTAGCAGGCCCATCGAGACTCTTCAGGAAGTAAACGTTGTGGAACCAGCGACCAAGATCGAACGAGTATCCGTGCATCAACCCACCCTTATAAAAACGGCGCGTCTCGACCATGTCCAGGTTCACGGTTCTGTACCAGTTGTTGGAAAAGCTCTCGCACCTGCAATTGCTCATGCTGCTGTTCCAGTTTACCAGAAGACTGTCTCTCCAGCTTACTCTTACGAATACTATCATTAAATTACCTATACTACGTGACTGTACTTTCTATAAATTCAAAAGCAGGGTATTACATCCGGATACAGTAATACGTATCAAGAATTAATGAGAATGGTTTTCATTTCTACATGGATACTTACGCGATCGCGAGAATACGTCGTATAAAAGGATTGAAATACGTCGGTTCGTTGATCCTTGTAATTCTATGTCCTTTACGATTGTTCAAAACGGTCTAATAAGCAAATCCATGTATTGCTTACATATATTAAGCAATATTATGTAAATTATATCGATAATATCCTGTGAACAGTGGAAACTTGTCTATTGTCTATTGTATATTTGTGTTTTGTATTGTAAAAAAAGTTTATATAAAATACGGAAACGAGAATGAGTTGTTGATTTATTGTTTACCTCGATAGTTGGCAAAATTACTAAAATCTTGTACGTCCCGTAATCATTGAAAGCATAATTAAGAAAACCTTCCTTGAGTTAACTGAAAATATAAATATTACGATAGGTCATTTTCATAGCAAAATTAGAACTCAAACTAGAATTCAGAGTACACGAGTTAAGTAACTAACAGAGAGTAAATTATTGGTTCGGTATAGAAATAGAAAAGACAAAAAAGAACATATTGGATAATAGCCGGAAAATATACGAATACCTATTTACGACTAATTTATGCATCCAGACGGTCAAAATTCGATTCAAGTGCAAGTAATTGTTGCGTAATTGTTCAGCCATTACCTTTTGCTGCTTTTTTAGAACGATTTTCTATTGCTTCTCGCGTTGGAAAGTATGCGTTATTCGCAATACTAACCAACAGTTTCCTGCAACAGAAAGTCAGTTCTTACAAGGGTAACCGCCGCCTCTGGCAATCGTCCATAAGGACATAACATTGACCCAAATACCGCCAAGTATCCGATCCTTTGTCTTCCTTAACGTAACGTTGTTTTTAACGCAACAATGAATGTAATAATGAAAAATAATTCGAATATCGGCAAAGAAAGCGATGCGACGGGAGATTTTAAGCGGTGAATTGTGCAGTCATGTTGGTGTAGGTGAATAACCCGGATATCGCCGCCAAGCAGACACCACTAAGTAAGTTTATGCAACGTATAAACCGGAAAATTGTCGAAAAAATTCAACAGAATCTGCGTAGGCGCTTAATACAACACGATAACTTATCGAACTTCCATTCACGTGTTTGTAACGTACGATACAAATATTGTACTAATAAATATTGGATAATTAGATGGTAGAAGAAAACATATGTCAATCTAGAGAATTTGCAAAATATTTTGCCGAATAACGTTGAAATGGTTGCGATTGTAAAAGTGCATGATAATCGTTGCAGAATTACAATACCAGTTGTACAGTGGCATGAATCAATGAAACGCGACGAGCTCGTGAATCACGTTGTCCCGTTGGTACATTTTGGCGGATTGTTCTTTCGCTTTTCACTTCGTTGCAAGGAATAATTCAGTTGGCGTGGCGTTCCTCGCCGTTACGCGATTCGAATTTCTTAAGAGTTTCTCCTACGCTGCGGCGAAATTTCGGAGGTGTAAAATTCGGTCGTGGTTGGAAATCATACGTATACACGATCCTGACCGAAATTTTTTCTCTTCGGGAAAAAGAGAGCCAAGTATTAATGTGTAGGTAACGTATCCGGTACTCCTATTTCCATTGCACCAGTCTACCTATTAAACTTTCTAGTTCCTCCCCCAATTATCTAATGATTCGTATGCAACGGTGTGATACGTCTGTTCCAGTATTTAATAGCACCGTTCTGAATCATTTGTCGGTAAACTAGATTAAGCAGAAACGAGAAGGTCGCGAACGAACGGTCAACTGGCGATCGTGGACGAAGGGATCTTCACCCTTGAAACGATTTAAGAAGGAACAGAGTGGCCTCGTCAGTGAGGTCGGCGCGGATCGGAAGGCGGGTAGTGACCAAGAAACGTCGTTCGTAACCTTAGCTTCAAGAGTATCACATACTGGCAGTTGCTATATAAGAAACACTGTAACGGATCTTGAATTCAGTTAGACACGCGACTGAGAAATAACTAGATCCATCGGGTGAAGTGTGGTGCGTGAGAGGTGAGTGCATGGGACGGAATCCACGAATCAAAAAAGAAAACCACGGAAACGAAATCGTGGCATCGAGAAGTTAAAGGAACTTTTCAGTCATCAATTTCCCATAAACTTGAAATAAAAAAAGTTGCTAGTTAGTGGATTGTTTCGTAGCTACGCGTAGCTATACATAAGAATACTATGAAGGATAAAAAGAACTTACGTGTATAGTACGGTGATTAACAGTGGATAAATGGATCATTTGCCCTGGATCGCGCACACAGAGGAACCATTACTTCGAACGATTATTATGATTCCGCGATTTAATGTTGAAAATCTATGTGTAATCTATGTGAACAATTAGCATAATTAGATAGGGGCTAGGATAGACCTCGTTTCACCTCCGCCCCTTCCGCCAAATTTTTAAATTACCAAATTACCAAATTACCAAATTACCAAATTACCAAATTACCAAATTTCCAAATTTTAAATTTAAACTAATTACGTGATTCGAGAGTCGGTATTCGAATTCGGTTAAATCTTTGACGAAAAAGATCGTACAAGTAACGCGACTGCTTTTGTTTTACGTTTAAACATAATTTCAAAATGATTTTCAATTCACAGAACTTTACATAGAAACATGAAGGTAATTATATTTATGATCATCGTGGGATTATGTGCAGCCATGCCACAATACTACATCCCTGAAGGTTTCGTGTATCCTCATCCGGCTAACTTATTAAATTCAGCAGTAGAGGACACATTACCCAATGAGTTACGAAACGACTTTTACAAAGATCCAAGAATTGCTGCTAAACTCGCGAAAGAATCATGGATTACCAACAAAGAGATGCAGGTTAAATCTGTTACCTTATGTAGATAACACAACTTGTTTATGATCCTTTTCCGTTTTACTTTCTTTTTGCCGCTTCTTTTCTTTTCTTTTATTTTATTTTATTTCTTTCACATTCACATTCATATTCAAAGACTTCTACTTCTTCTACCTATACCCAACAAAAATCGAATAATCAATACTTATCAACCTTCCGCTTTTTTATCATTATTTGATAAATGAAAAATTATTGATAATAATCATAATACCACGTACTGTGGTAAGCACGGTGTAAGATTATTCTTAGTCGATTTGAAAACGAGGTTAGTGGATTTAGTTCTGAAATCCGAGTATACAGCTTCTTTTACTAACGTATTATGTTTCTCTGTGGATTTCTATTTCAATATCGCCATATCTTCGATCGTGCGGACCGTTTCATTTCAATAATATGATCAAGTGCCGTCTAAAAATTGTTCCGCTCTTGATCTTCTATTGTTTTCCTGTTGGTTCGTTACAAAATATTCGATTAATCGTATAAAAAATTATAGAGCTATAATTTTCGTTTCTTGTTGTAGGTAATTGACCGTGAATCGGATAAAATTCCACGGCAACAAGTATACAACGTTCTTCACAATGCAGGATTTGTACGAAAATAAAATTAAAATACTGTGGAATTTTTTAATAAAAGAATTTATTTAATTTACCTTCCACCTTGCCTCATAGCGATCAATATAGCAGGCAACAATTTACCGCGTTCCTTTGGTAACACTCTATGTATCCCATATCTCGATATTTCGTTGTAACTAACTCTTTCGAGATATCGATTTTTGGCATACGCTATTTGAAAATGAAATACCCTTGTACGCAATGTAATTAGAATCTTTTATTTTTTTTATTAAAACTAGTACAACATAGTACAACTAATAGAGTCTGTAAAAATAAAATAAGACAAGCGGTTTTCTTTTCTATCGTCTATTTATAACTAACTAATCTACATAGAATCATAGTTTAGTTATTTTATAGAGAAGAAAAGAACCTTATTAAAGGATTTTATTCAAGTACGTAAATTGTTAATGCACTTTTCTAAAATTTCTTTTTTAACGCGTGGATAGTCTGGACTCTGTTTCAAAATTTCATTACAAGCCTCGATACCATCTGCATAAGATTTTGCTTTCATAGAGCAATAAGCCAGTTTATAAGCAATCGACAATTTAGATTTTCCTCCGTATTTCCATGCTTGGCTGTATTGTAACGCAGCTTCACGATAATTTTGTTCTTTTTCAGCAATATAACCAGAAAGTTCGTGAGCTCTTACACAAGTTGCGTTATGTTGTAAAACGCGCCGTAGAAGATCATTTGCTAAGTCATATTTATTAGACTGTACATAGATATCGGCCAAAAGTAACCAACAACGTTCTAGATATTCCGCGTCCTCGAATGTCCAGGTATTCTTGCTAACGCGCTTTAAATGATTTCGAGCACGCGGAGTTTGTTTAAGAAGAATGTGAGCCATTGCCATGCCTAAGGCTGGTCCAACATGGTCTCTTAACGTTTCTTGGCTAGCTAGAGCCGTGCAATCCTGTAGAGCTTTCTCTATATTTGATTTCTGCTTTGTAACCAGCAAAAAAAAATTACTTAACAACCTGTGAGTCAACATTTCATGCGGACTACCTTTGGGATTCAGCTCCTGGAATAGTAAACAGTAATCAGTTTATGATTCATTATATTCTGAAAATACTTTACGAATAACTTGAAAGATTTTCAATACTTGTAACAAACGGTAGGCTGTCTTCAAAGCCATCGTTCTAGAATCTTGATACTCCGTGTCATCGTCGTTGAATACTTCATTTGACAAAGACGAATCGTCATCCGGATCTAGACATATCTCGATCATGTTGTATATCGCTTGTTGACCCCATTCAGGATCACGTCTTACGAAATTAAAATGGCGAAGCGCGGAATTTAATTTACCCATACGCCAATCCAATAAACCTGCACAGTAATAATAACCAGCTGCTAAATGTGCACTCCTTGTACCTTCCTCTGCTCGGTGTAACCATTCTTCTAAATCATCCATATTTCCTGAAACCAATATATCGAGAAATAATTGAACAAACTAATTCAAACAGGACGACGCGTTTAATTTCTTCCTTCATTTTATTGCACCTGTTCTACGGGAAACTTCTATTAGCCTTGCCAATGCAGTCCAATACGTTGGCTGTTTCAGCAATAATTGTCGAAAATGAAAGGCAGCCGTTTCAAAATCAACTTTTCTAAATGCAAGATCAGCCATCATTATTGAAGCAGCTTCGTTATTTGGATCTGTATTTAATACGGCTGTACAACTTTGAGCACATTGGTCCAAATTATTCGTCTTTAAGAAAATTATATGCATACGTTATATCGAGAATTCCTTGATCGCTATACCTTCGATTATACTAAAATATAACGTGACTATTATTCACCTGCATGTAAAGCTTCGCTAATGATAATAAAGCATTTACATCTGTAGATTTATGATTTAAAGCTTCCTTATAGTACATTATAGCTTGATCATAATCCCTCAAAGAAGATGAATAATCTGCCATTGTCAGACAAATGTTAGCCAAGAATTGTTTCTCATTTTCTATATTAGAAGTTCCTAGGCGTTGTATGTATCTGTGTTGATTCTCTTTAGCCTCTTTCAACGCTGACAAAGCACCTTGAATATTGCCTGCTTTCTCACGAGTTTTAGCAAGCAGCAGCAATAATTGACCTCGTACTTCTAAACTTTGTTTATCGGAATCTCGACGGCCATCTGAAATAAATAATTTTAGGTAGACGATATAATAAACTCATAATTCGAGATAATTAAATGAAAATGATGCCAGCCTTGCAGTTCTTGCACCAATGTAATTTCTGCCTTATCATATTGTTTCAATGTCATGAATAGCTTCGCGAGATCCAATTTTAAGCTGTTAAAATTTTCCTGTTTCATTATATCGCGATAATAATTTATAGCCTTTGTATACTGATGAGTTTTTACAAGCGCTTTTCCTAGTTTACTCGCTATATATACTTTATTTAAAGGATTTTGTTTTAAAGCTTGTTCATACGCTTCTATTGCCCTTTCTGGTTCTTGTATGGAAATATATGCATCACCAAGCATACTGTATGTCTTGGGACCAGGGCAATGTTCTACCAGTTCCCTGTAAAATCAAATTTTTTCCATTTTTTTTCAACAGATTTATCTATAAAAACACAAATAATAACACACCTGAAACACATAGCAAACGCGAGTCGATCTTTTTTATATTTTAAATTTATCTCAGCTAAACGTGTATGTGCTTGTAAATAATAGGGTTGATCCGGAGTTACTTTAGATAAACAGTTAATGGCTTCATCAAGTTCTTCCATTTCCAGAAATAATTCTGCATTTCCTATTAACACTTTGCCCTCTTCCATAGTATTTTCAAGCTTCGCTTTTGCATCTTGTATTATAGCAATAGCTTCATTAAACTGTCCCATTTTGCTATGAGCGGAAATTAATTCAAGATACAGCGTTGCAGTATCTGATATAGAAATATGCGTAATATCCAAAATATTTTTATTAGATTGCAATCCTGCATATGACATAGCTGTTTGGAAACTTTTTATTGCACCTTTCACGTCTTTGTTTTCCTTTTGAATAATGCCTATGATTAAATGATAGATTGGACTGTCTCTGATCTTGAAATTATAACTCAAACCTACTTCCAGACTTTGGGAAGCCAATTCGTAATTTCCTTGTTGAGTTAAAATTTGTGCCATAAGTAAATGAGCTTCTGCGTTTGACGAATCGACATTATCCAACAAATTTCTTAATATGTATGAAGCACCGTCTAAATCCCCGCTTTGCATTTTAGCCTTACTTAACAGTAATTGAGCTGTGATCAAACCAGGATATGCTTCTGACAACTGTTCCAACAAGTATAAACTTGGTTCCTTATGATTCACTAATTTTTCCTCCAACTGTGTTGTATCATTTGCCACAGAATAAATTAAACGTTGCTTAGAAATCTCTAAACATAAATCAGGGTTTAATTTTTTTATATAATCGTATCCATATGGAATGTATTTACAATTATATAATATGATTGTGGCTGCTCTGTCTAAATAATTTAAAGCTTTATTTGAATCGATGCTATTCAATTTTGCAGACATAAAAAGTAGTTCCGCATCCACTGAATCCGATTGTATTTCCATCAAAAAATCTAATTGCTGTTGTGCCAAATCTGATGCATCTTCTGAAGTATCTAAAAGCTGACAGTGCGCTAAGCCTTTCAGACCTGTAAATGAAGATTCATTGATTCTGACAGCGCTTCTATACCAATATTCTGCGTCTTTTATTTTATTCAATGAAATATATAAATTTCCCAATTCAATCATGAGATCTGCCATTTTTGCATTGTGCTGCATCATTTTTTCAACAATTTTAGATAGTTCTAATAAAATTTCTTGATGTTTGCATGCGATTCGAGAAAATAATTGAATATTACTAATTAAAGCAGGCACAGCTTTTCCCTCTGTAAGTATTAGATTTTTAAAAAACGATTGTAAATACTTCAATGCTTCGCTATAATTTCCATCTCTACAAAGAGCTACAAATGCATTCGCTTTAATAGCATCTGCATTATTTGAATCAATGGATAGTATTCTGTTAGCAGTTTCTAGTACTTGATCCCAATCTTTCATTGCAAGTTGATTATACAATTTTTCAATCAAAGGTAAGCATAATTTAGGATAGCGTACAATTAATGAATTCAATGTCAATATTGCTTCAGCATAATTGCCATGCTGGTATTTATATTTTGCAGAACCAATTAAAGCATTTACGTTCTTTGGTTCTTCTTTTAAAACAGCATCAAACAAATTTGGTTCATTCAAACTGTTCTCATTCATGAGCAATAAATTTATCCAACCTTTAGTCAACAAAACATTTTTGTTGGATGAATCAAGTTTAAATGCCCTTTCGATATAATCCTTTGCTTTGTCAACTTTCTGAGATAAAAGCAACACTAAAGCTGCTAATGATAATCCATTTGAAGACGATTTTCGTCTTTCGTCTCTAATTCTTGTTTCGATTTGCATTACAGTAATTTTTTCAACATTTTCACTATTTATATATGCTACGCTTTGTACAAGTAGTGCTGCTAATGTTGTATCTGTATCATTCATTAAAGTTGTAGTTTCTTTAATAGATTCTTGAGTCTTTCCAATTAATGCATATGCAAGACTTAGAAGAAGTCTTAGGTGTTCGCTAGTCGGATATGTTTCACAAGCTTCTTTACAATAATGTAACATTCCATTATAATAAAACTGATGACAAAACCACTCAATTAATGTTATATATTCTATTTCTTCCATTTTAAAAAACACAAATTTTTAGATCTCAAGTTCTAGAAATAACAAAGTTTAATAATTGCTCAGAATTGTAACTATTGTAATAAAAATGTTCATTAAGAAGAATATATTAAAAAATCTTCTGGATCCGGAAGTTCATAAATAATGTTAGGATCTAAAGGTTCTGAATCAGGTCCTTCCAAAATATGCATAGGTCCAACAACAAGTTCTTCAAGATCTGAATTTTTAACTGCAAGATAATACTTTTGCATGTAATCACAGGACAGGAATAGATAATAATAATTTACAATAGCATATGTGAAAGCTGTCTGAAAATATAATTTATACATTATTTATAATACAAAGTATAAGAATACAGAAACTAAAGAACAAAAAAAAATTACCTCAGCGAGTAGCCGTGCTATGCCTTGTCCTGTATACCTGTATGGTACATTGATTGCCTGCATATCCAAAATTTTTCCATCTGCTTTATATTGCAATGCTGCTCTGGCTATGCAAAAACAACTAATCAATTTTTGGATTAAATGAACTGAACATTCATATTAATGTAATTTTTAAAATATACAATTAATACTGAGAATACATGAATGATCTTTCAAGTACTATATCTTACAATTGTCGTCTAATTTTATGTAGAAAAGACCTCGTTTTTCATTATGGTACACTTTGTGAAAGAGTCTTACACGACTTTTGTGTTTGATTTGTTTGAATTTAAATGACAATAATTTAGCAAAGTAACTCATACCATTTATCACATATAGTATACATGATACAAAATACTATTCATAACAGTTTTAATTAACTGCATACCTACATAGCCGTTTACATTTATTAATTTCTTGTGTCAGATAGAAAAAATTCAACATGTAATAGGTTAGACTTTCGTTGTCAAGAGGTTGCTTAGCAACAGTATTATTTTTTACATAAAAGTATTTAAATTAATGTATGTATATTATAAAATGTTCATATAGTTCGGAGAAATACAAATTCATTTTTATATTTTCATCATATTTAGATTTATTGAGCGACCGAGCCGAAGGCGAGCGAACCAATTCTCATCAAATTTTGCACGCCCATACGTATGTACATCCAGATGGACATAGAAAAAAAAATTTTAAATCGGACATCGGATCTAGCGCCGAAAGGGGTGAACTAAACCTAAAAAATGAGGGTCCGAACACGCATGTAAGGAAAATAAAAAAATGAATATTTCGGCACTTTGGCGACGTAGTGTGGTTCCTGAGGCATTTAGAAACAAATTTCTATTAGGGTTTGATGCGTTTTGATGCTTAATAAAGCCAGGAAATCAATTTTTGTCGAATTCGGTCCAAAACGGTACAGGTGGCGCCATCTAGCGGCGAGCGGCGGAACTACGAAAAACTAAAATTTCGATTTTCTCGAAAACTAGGAACTTTTCCGAAATTCTGAGATATACAAATTGTTCCTTGTCGCCTACGGAATCGAACGAATCTAACTATAGCTTGCTAGGACAATTATTAAGGAAAATAGAAAAATAGCCCATTTCATGGACTAAAAAATTGCCGTCCATCTAGCGGTGAAAGTTGGAACTACAAAAATATAAAAATGCGATTTTCTCGAAAATTAGCAAACTTTGAGTACTTCTGAGGCTCAGAAAGTGTTATGTGATCACATTAGAAGTAAAATAAAGCAATAAAATCTTCCTGAAAACTTTAATAAAGAAAATAAAAAAAATGTCATTTTATGGAGAAAATTTGTGGCGCCATCTAGCGGCGAAACTGCGAACTTCGACGAATTTCTCAACTTCGACGATGTAGTATGCCTCTTTAGACATTTTAAAGCAATTCTTGTTGAATAAGTTACTCATTTTTTTGCCTATTAAGCCCAGAAAATCAATTTTTATTTGACCCCTTAACACGTGTTCGGACATACGTTTTTTCAGTTTAGTTCGCAGTTTTGCCGCTAGATGGCGCCACAAATTTTCTCCATAAAATGACATTTTTTT